GTGCAGGGCCCAGGAATCGGATCTTGCAGAGATCAATGGAGGTTGATTGGTGCCCGCATCTCGTCTCAGCAATGCCTTTCTCAACCGTTGACCTCATCAGCACGGATCACGGCCGTCTTCTTCGAAGTGACAAGAAAATTTTCGGTTTTCAAAAATTTGCGACTCTCCAAGTTGAGAAGGGGCAAATTTTCAGCAAACAAATCACTAGAAAATTGAGGTTAGTAACCCAGGATCCAAGGAGCAGGAAAAAACCGAGCACTTAGGCACATCGAGTTCAGCTGAGGCACCACGTAGGACAAGGCTGTCCTGATGCCTTCCTGGGAATTGAGTCTGCGATCGTAGAGAGAGATTTCCACAGCTCGGCGCAGCATTGGAAGTCCAATCCCTCGATGAAAATCTATGACAACGATAAGGGCCTCGATGATGCGGGGCCCGCACAAGATCAGAGTCATCAGGGTTTCACCCTTCAAGGGTCAGACTTGGGCATGGCCAGGGAGCAGAGGCAGACATCGGCACTGGAGTGAAACTTGTGTCGGCATCGGGAGACGTTAGTTTTGTCGCTTGGACAGTCCTGACATGCCAGGACAGTCATATGTTTTTGTGCAAGACCAACACCAGGTAAAAACGCCGATGCATTAGGGTTAGGCATGGCCACATCAGTTCGTTCATGTCCTGGGGCTTTTTGACAGGTCACATTGGCATCCTCAAGTTGGGCCGCGAAGCCAGTGGCAGTCGCCGATGCAGGAGGTTTTGCGCGTGCTTTGGGCCCAGCGGACCCTATGGGAGCGGGCTATACGGGAAAGTCGCCGACTTTTCTTCTGGTGATAAATTAAGCAGCATATGCTTGATCCTAGGACCCCACGGCGACATTCCGTCGTGCGGGACCAGCACACAGAGGCATCATCATGTTCACAATAGGCCCCAGCATCCGCCCATTCTGATCGCCATTTAAATTCAGCAAAGTCATAGAGCTCGTCAAAGTCACACTCTTGAGCGGCATAGCCACGGGCCACGATACCTATATATCCCTCATGACCACCATGACATGGTGTGCACAAGCAGGTTGCCCACAAGGCTTCCGCCACCTTCCTTGGTCAAGCGGAAGGGCACGTAGTGAGACCAATTCGCGCTTGAAGATACCAAACTTGCACAGTATCAGGTAACGTTGCGGTGTTCGTCACGGTCAGAAACAAAGTTCAGCAAGGTTTGATGAAAACTGAAGTACATATAGTTGTCCTCGTCAACGGGCAGCTGTGCCCGATCATCAGATTGAAAGCGACTATCAAACTGCAGATTCAAGTTCAGCATTTCCTACATGGAAATTTTCAACCAACCCCCAAGTTGTACTATCCAAAAAACAAGCTACGCCAAGTATTATTTCACCTCTTCGCTTACCAAGGCCAATCCTTGTGGTCATACACCTGTGTCCGCTTACTCCATTGCTTGTAGCCAGACGGATGTCCTGTGAACGTTGGTGCCCAAGAGTCACCTTGAAAAGGTTGGCGACGAAGCAGCGCTTGCTGTCGCCATGTGAGGTCTGCCCCTTTGAACTCAAAAAAATCCAACAGGACAAAGGTAGCTAAAAATAATTCTTTGATCTGGTCGGTGCATGTCGGTGCCTTTGTCCTAGAAATGTGTGTGGTCAAAGTGCGCTGGCTGGCCTTTGGGGCTTCGCCACGAGTGCAAAGTGCAGAAACCTTCCAGTGGCCTAGTGCACCTGGCTGCACCCCGCATGATTTCCGTCCCCTAGGAGGATTTTGGGGCAAATCGGGCCAAAGACCCCATGGATATGTGAAAAGGTGAATAACCATCACATGAGCTTGCTTGTGCGGATGGACAACTCACAAAGAAATACAAACAATGTTCATATATAGACAGTTCAAACCAATCAGAAACATTCATAGCAGTTTAAGAGGGCTGCAAAACCGCACAAGCAGGCGCAAAAAAAACACAGTGATGAATCAAAGGAATCAAAGGCAAATCCTGTTTTTGCATGTTTTTGCGACAAGTCTGTGTCCTGAATGAGAAACAGCGTTTTTAAAAAAAAACAAAAAAAAACGTTCTAACATTTTCCATTGTTGCACACGGCATCGTGCACAACGCAGAAACAAATTGCAGATTTCAAAGCGTTGATACAAATTTTTTTATTTCTAATTTAGCAAGTGAAGGTAACCAATCCATGATTTATGTGACTCGCGTTGAAAATTATAACAGCTCGCCCACCACACGGTGAATTTCAGCTACCACATGTGTCGGTTTAATTTGTATAAATCTATTTTGTCGACGCGATACCATGTCATACGCGACATGATGATGAAGTGGTAACGAGGTAGTGTGGTGGTGTGGTGGTGTGGTGATGTGGTGATGTGGTGATGGTGATGTGACGATGTGGTGGCGCGGTGATGTGATAACGTTTGTAGAACCCCCGTTTGGCTTAAGACTGCTTTTGCCGTTTTGGTGCAGGAAAGGGGGGGTATTGGTGCACGGCTGGTGCGCGGAAAAGGAAAATAGGGGCAAGGGTGGGTCTGGAAAGGGAAAAGCAGGTCCCGGACTGGGTTCTTGCCGATCTATGGATCCAGTCGGGATCTCGTCGGGATCCTGTCGGGACCCAGTCGGGCACCAATTTTTGCATTTTTTGGGCACCGCTTTTGGCCAGTCGGGATCCAGTCGGGATCTAGTCGGGCACCAATGTCGGGAGGCAGCCAAATTCATAAAAAATAACATTTTTGGAGTGTTTTTGCGCGTTTTTGGGTGATTTTGGCTGCTTCCCGACAGGTCTAAACGTGGTGCCAAAAATTCGAAAATTGGATCCCGACTGGATCCCGACTAGCCAAAAGCGGTGCCCAAAAATTCAAAAATTGGTGCCCGATTGGGTCCCGACTGGGTCCCGAGTGGGTCCCGACTGGGTCCCGATTGGATCCCGACTGATTTCTTCAAAAAAGACCTCTTTCCCTAAATTTGAGAACTTTTTTTTGAAATTTTAGCACCTTGCCGTGCACCACCTCCAACCCCCTCCGGACCCCCCCCCACCAGTCTTAAGCCAAACACGGGCAACTCAAGATAACGTGGTGATTCCCAGCAATTGCCTGAAATTTTGAAGTGCAAATAAAATTCTGGTTGCAGTCCTGTGCGCTTTTGGGCGGCAACTTTGCCAGAGCGAGGCCCGCAACAGAGACCCATCTCACTTCGGCGACCTCAGGATCCACGTTGCCCGAAATTATCCGGAAAAAAACGAAAAAAAAAACACAGTTTTCTGGCCCGTTATGCTCCCATAGTGCTCCCGCACGCGAATGGCTCTTGCTGACTTTGTGGTTGCGATGATTGCACTATTGCCCATCGGCATTCTACTGTAATTTGGACTGGTACTATCGACTATCCCTGTTTATATATATTTTTTTTGGGACGTACAAGTGTTGGCTGGGATTAGTTTTCTCTTGAACTTGTTGGCTCGCTGCAGAAGCAGACACTTCATTTTACGATGGGCTAGGCTGTTATGTTGCAGCTTGAAATTGAAAATTATAATTCGCAGATTTTTCAATTTTTTCGGTTACGGTTATTAGTAAACCCCGTATTTCGGTTTGAAACGTTAATTTTGGAAATTCTCGGCTTAAATTTCCCCTGAGAAACTTTGTTTTGAAGGGACCAGCCATGAGACCGGCAAAACTTATATGCAAACAACATCGGGAACTGATTTGGTAGGGTTTGTGAAAGGACTTCGGCGGTGTTGGGGGGCATTCCAGAATCATCCTTTAGAGTAATTGTTCTTGCCATCACATTTAAATATCGCAGCCGTCCGACCAATTTTTGCCGCTCATGTCTTCATGAATGTTGTGCACGCACAGAGGATGGATCGTGACCAACCTATCTAAATTACAACGGAAAATTTCGCACGCCAAATTCCAGGCAATTCCGTTTTTGAGCCGTCCGTTTTTTTCCGTTCACGAAATTATTCAAAACCCAAAAGGCTCAACGGTGCATGCAAACTCTGATCGGAAAAAATGTCACACTGCACTCGTTCGACTTTATATGCTCCGTGTGCTTCCCCGTGTCGCAATATGATCAGTAGGTCATGCCAGTCAGGGGAATGGAGGGAAATAGGTGGGTAGAGTGACTGTTGCGCAGAGCAAATGTGGATGGACCCGAGTGTGGACGAAATTGATTAAACAAAAAAAATATCGTGCATGAATTGCTTTGTGACAAAATATTCCTGGTTTTGAGAAGAGGGTATGGTAGCAGAATGACACGCATATGCTTGACATATGCCATCACGTCGTGTCACCGCTGCACGAATACGACGCTGGTTTCCGCGCTTTGGATTTTATTTTCTTTCTAAACAATTCCTTGTTTCAGACCGTAACATGGCACAAAATGAACAAATTTCGGTACTATGTTTTTTTTTGGGGGCCGAAGAATCATTGTTCTAGAGCTTTGGGTAGTGGCACCAGGGAAAGAAACGTCATTTTGCATAATTTTGAATGAATTGGTACTTTGTGCTGGTGAAAGCTAGCCGGTCTTGGAAAAATGATGTTGTAGCGTGTAATCATACGCCATTGCTGGAAAAAAAAACCGAAACGGGTTTCGGCCCCGATTTTTTTTATTGTGGGGGAAAATTGTTTTGGAATTTGTGCCAGTGGCGCCAAAGACAACATCACAGTTCGCCTGCACTGCAGTTGGACAAACTTAAAATAGTGACGTAGCAGAGTCACATGCAATCACCGGTCACTTCCGTTGTCCAAAAAAATTCAATTGGTTGGCGTGACAGATCGCACGGATATATGTTTTTGGGTTCTTCGGCCCCCTTGTTTCTCAAAGAGTTGGACTAGTCACGTTGAGGTTTGATTCGAATTGAATTGTCTGACAGCCATTTGGCACTAGTCTCCATGCTTGGGATAAAAACGTGCAGCATCTATACATTGCAGTAGCCCACAGGCCCACTAGATGTCAATGGATCACACAACAACAGGTTGCCCAACAAACACATAAACTGTTCTGGCCTAGATTTGAAGCCATGACGTTATCGGAGTCTGCCGACATGGAAGATGCACGTGGTGATGTTTGTATGTCAGACCGTTTGATCCCATCCAGGGGGACTTGCAGCGAAGTTCAACAGCTCAAACTTGAACGAGATGAGAACTGGGCACCTCAAAACGATTATCACGAAGTTCTCTCTCAGAATGTGTTGGGCAAAGAGGCATTGAGTAATGTGAAGATCTTGAGTTACCAGCACAAACCCGTGCGACAAGACCCTCACCTCAATGAGTTGAAAGTGCTGTACAGCAGCAACCGTGATGGCAAAGCAACAGCACGACCTTGCCGTCACCTTCCCCAAAGTGCTACAAAGGTCCTGGATGCACCTGGCATCCTGGATGATTTCTATAGTCATCCTGTGGATTGGTCATCACAAAATGTTGTTGCTGTCGCATTGGCCGACATGGTTTTCCTATTTGATGCCTCCACTGGAAACACAAAAAAACTTCTTCAAGTGTCGCGGGGCTCTGTCACAACCCTGCGATGGACTGAATCAGGTGGGCACTTGAGTATTGGTTCATCCTGTGGAGAGGTGCAAATTTGGGATGCCGCCTCTCAGAGGCAGCTCCGCAACTTGCGTGGCCATTCAGGAAGGATCGGAGCCCTTGCCTGGCACAAGCACATGTTGAGCAGTGGATGTGCAGATGCGGAGGTTCATCAACATGATGTTCGAGTCCGAGAGCACTTGGTGTCCCGAATGTCGGCACATTCGGACTTGGTATGTGGCTTGGATTACAACTCTGAAGGGATGTTGGCATCTGGAGGGAATGACAACATCGTGTGCATTTGGGAGACGCCCACAGCAGAAACCCCCGTGCACACCTTCACAGAGCATCAGGCTGCTGTGAAGGCTTTGAAGTGGTGCCCTTGGCAGCGCCATGTCCTTGCCACTGGAGGGGGCTCAGCAGATCGTCAGATTTGTTTGTGGAATGCCTCCAGTGGCAGACTTCTCATGTCTACCAATGCCGAGAGTCAGGTCACCGGCATTTTGTGGGGAGAGCAGGAAAGAGAGCTTTTGACAGCACATGGATATTCCAGAAATCAGCTATCCCTATGGAAGTACCCATCCCTTGTGAAGGTTGGTGATCTTGAAGGGCATGAGGGCCGGCTCCTGGGACTGGCTCAGAGCCCTGATGGCTCATTAGTTTGCTCCCCTTCAGCCGATGAAACGCTGCGGTTTTGGCGGGTCTTTACGCCAGCAAGTCCTGACAAGGCCTTGGCTCCAAGCAACAAGACAAACACGAACACCATTCTCAAGACCATCCGGTAAGCTTCAATGAGCTTGAAACTTATCGCCAAGCCGGAGTGCCACGAGTGCTACATGCGAATAGTTTTTTGGAATTTCTCTTCATGCGCTGCCAAAAGGTGGCTAGTTTCTGTACTGCAAGGCGGTTTTACAAAGCTTTGCAGGGGTGCATGCTTTCAAAGAGACCAATTTCTTTGGCTGCGTCACATATCAGTTCATGAATTCAAATGTGAAATGCTGAAATGTTCTTTAATGCACTTTATGGCGTCTCGCCTTTGATGTGTTAAAAAGAGGCGTGTCTGCACATGCTCATGATGCAGCTGGCGTATTCAGAGCTCACCATCTTCGCCTTGGAGTCATGCATTTTTCTTTTGATTTTTTTTTGGGTTCCGTTTCTCCAAGGCCATGTTGAGACTGAAATCGGGCAACCCACGGGGTTGCAACCTTGTACGAAGAAAAAATGCTACACTGACTGAGCTTCTGCAGATGTTGCTGTGCAAGTAGCCGCATGGCGCCACTTCTTCATCTCATTGAATCCCTGCTGGATGGAACAGGGCTCGGAGACAAGAGATACCAAGCTACACACTGCAAACACAAGTCTTCAAGCAGAACTAGGGTAAAGCAGAAACCATTCAAACTTCTTAGGCCTTGAAGATCTTGAAGATGGAAAACTAGGAACATCATATTTTTCAGCACAACGAATGGCCCCGACGAATGGCAACCTAAGTGGACATCCTCAGCAAAGAAATTTGGATGGAAAGCCTTTGGAACCAGAGACTGGTCACCACAGATCCTCCCATATGGCCGTTCTCCTGGCGATGGGGCTGTGATGATTTCGCATGGAGATGCCGGGCGCCAAGTTGAAACAAAATTTCAAGCAGAAGTGTCATGAGAGCGAAGTCTTGGACTCCCAAGTCTTCACGGAGGTCTCTGACGCTCTCCACCTTGCCGTGGTGCAGATTAGTCATTTCCCCAGTCCCCATTGTTTGTTTTTAAGGATTTGAATGGACTTGATGGGCATGCAGGTGTACGGAAAGCACAGGTTCTTGTTAAGGCGAACTGTTTCTCGGAAAATAAGGATTTGCCTCTATAAACATGACGTGCAAGGGACCCCTACCCCCCAAGTACAGGATATATTTGATATATCATTATATATACATGACATACACACATACACACACACATACACAAATGTATGCAGCATGCATGCATGCCTGCGTGCATGCGTACACACACACACAGAGAGACAGACAGACAGACAGATAGACAGACAGACAGACAGACAGACCGACCGACGGACGGACAGACAGACAGACATACATATATACATACACATACCTAAATACCTATTACATACCTACATACCTACATACCTACAGACCTACATGCCTACATACCTGCATACCTAACAGAACACTACCTTACATTACATTATATACATTACATTGCATTACATACATTACATTACATTACATTACTTTACTTTACTTTACATTGCGTTTACATTGCGTTTACATTACATTACATTACATTACATTACATTACATTCATTACATTCATTACATTCATTACATTCATTACATTCATTACATTCATTACATTCATTACATTCATTACATTCATTACATTCATTACATTCATTACATTCATTACATACACAACAATACACAACAATACACAACAATACACAACAATACACAACAATACACAACAATACACAACAATACACAACAATACACAACAATACACAACAATACATAACATACATACAATACATACAAATACATCCATATACATACATATACATACAATACATACAATACATACAATACAAACAAAACATACAAAACATATAATACATACAATACAATACATACAATACATGCAATACATACAATACATACAATACATACAATACATACAATACACTACAATACCATACCATACAATAACATGCCATACCATATACCATACAATACAATACGATACAATACCATATACATGCATACATTCATACATACATACCTACCTAGCTAGCTAGCTAGCTAGCTAGCTACCTACCTACCTACATACATACATACATACATATGTATATATATAATCTATATACTATTGATTATATCATTATAAAGTTTTTTTTTGGGGCATCTTGATCCGAGCAACATTTGGTAGATTGGTTCATTCATTCTACAGAGCGCACAGCACTCACAATGACGTCATACAACACCAGACATTGAGTTGAGAGAAACAGACCATTGGAGGGCTGCGCTGTGGGCAGTCGTCAGGTCATGGCCATGGCTTTGACTTTGCAGAAGAAGCAGCTCTTGATGGTCTTGTAGCTGCGACCTCGCTTTACATTCAGGAAGCTTGCGGACTTTGGGGTGGCTCCGCCTGCAGAATCAGACCCATGTTGTGCACTACTAGTGACTAGTGGAGTAGGGGCTAGGAGTACCATCGACTCCCGGAGTGTTCAAAGCATCTTTGCTGAAACATATTAGGTTCCGCCTTTAAATGTGCAACCCATCTAGCGAATCCGGCCGCGACAGGACCTGGGTTGGCGTTCCAAGCGCTGTGCTGAACTGGCAGGACGAGCTAAGGTCAGATCCTGTGTAAATTGGTTCGTTTCAGACATGTCAGGCTGGTTTTCGGCATCCGATTACCAGCTAAATACCAACATGCCAAACCTTGGTTGATTTGTATTGTGCCTATGCCTGTTTTGGTCACATTTTTGCCGCTTGCAAGGTGGACGTCGCCGATGTCAAAGAAGCATTGGAACAGTCCGTTCAGAGCCAAGATCTTTCCTTTGTAGATCAATGGCGGACGCAAGTGACTGGCAGCCTCACACTTCACCGTGAGATAGTGCGCATGGATGTGAAAGGCTGAAGCTGTCGTGGAAACTTTTGAGGCGGATGAGGCCGGGATAGAGATCATAGGCTGAGCTGCCGCCTCACGGCACACAGTTCTTGCGTTCGGTGAGGATGAGCTCCCTGGCCCAAAGGACGTGCAGGTCAGGATTGGCAAGGCATGGAATTGCGCAGAACGGGTGGTCTTGGCAGTGCGCTTTTCCCATAAAGATATTTCATACTGACCCTGAAAACATTTCGAGGTTTCGGGGTGGGGAACGCGCTGCCAGAACCATCCCACACCCCAAGTTATAGCGCTTAAGTTACATGAACCAAAACCTTGAACACCTCGCAAAAATCAATAATGCCAAAAAGAGTTTGACAGAACGAGCAAAACCGACAAGAAAACAATAAACTATCGAACAAACCAAAAAAAACAAACACAGCAAGAAAGCAAGAAAACCCGACAAAAAGAGATACATGATTTCAAGACTTTGGGGTTCAGGGGTGGTTTGTGTCAAGGGTCTGGAAATAAGTCTTCTCCTTTTTTGGTGTATTCGAGGCGTTCAAGCACCTGGACATGGCCAGCCTTCCCAAAAACTGCCCAAAACCATGGGAAAAGAAACCGCGCAAAAGCAGACACCATTGAGGGGGCTCAGAGACTTGGGACATGCAAATTTCTTGTTAGAAAATACTTGAAAAAAACATAGGCAGACAAGGCGCAGTTAAGACACAGGTTCTGCATTTTCCGTTATATAAGTAGAACACTCCGATGTGTCTTTTTTAATGTTGACAGAAATGCTTTCCGCAGTGGATTTTTCAAAACGTGGAATGTTGCTTGAGCAAAGCGTGGTCTCACTTTGTGCATTTCGTTTGAAATAATTCTGCATACATCTTTAAGACGAGTGCAGTGTTGTTTTGAAGAGATCTTCAACATGTGCAATAATTCTTTGAAAAAGAGGATGGCCCATCCATTGCACGAATTTAGCACAACTAGAACATGTTCAAAGAGTGCAGCATATCTCTAAAAGGAGTGCACTATTACCTTTAATGAAATCTTCAAAATTGAACATGTGCAAACACTATTCCAAAAGAGGTAGACCATGCCATTCCAACAATATAGACTTATTCCATCTCTGGCAGGGTGCAGCTTACCTAAGATATCTTTGGCATGTGCGACATTTCCTTCAAAAAAGGGTATGCCATTCATTCCATGGCAATGGGGAGAGACAGAGAGAGAGATTCATTGCATTGCGAGAATATCAAAACAAAATTGTTGTGTATGCAGTACTATTTTCTGAAAAGAGCATGTTCTTCCTTGAAGAGCATGTGGTTCAAATGTTGCAGGCTTTAAAGGGGTGCCGGATCTGTTAGAAAAGATTGCAACATCCTACGGCACATGGATTCAAAGAGGATCTTTTTGTGTATCATTATAGAGCATTCAGCATTTTTGAAAGAGTATACGTCATGGAATGTTCTCCTCAACCTGAGCGAACCGTTTGATTGAAAAGAGTGCAATGTATAGTCCTCTTATATGTCATGAGGCATGTCAGTCATGTCCCTTCAAGCAGCAGGTGCTCCTTCCACAAAAAAGAACTGAACTGCTTGAAGAAAAGGATGCACCTGAAAATTGACCAAAAAACGCACTGCTGCAACCACTCGGTCTCTTCGGCCTTTCCAGGCCGAAGAAGCTTCAGATCACCCGTTCGGTCAAGCAACCAAGGCAGGGATTGAAGTTGTGGCAACCATATCAGCCTCCTTTGATGTCATATGAATCGTCTGAACTTTGGATCTCGCTTGCAGAATCCAGGTTGAAGCTGAAGATGGTACACCACAAATGGTCAGTATCAGTAAGGAGATGGATGCAAGAGCTCGAATTGGTTCAAAACCACAGCGAGGTGCAAAGGCAGCTGGCTGGGTGGCCTTGGAGAAAACTGAAAGCCCAGAGCCGTGCAGTCGAGATACGATTCAACCGACGACGCCCGAGCTGAGCTTTCCTTTGAGCAAATGCCAACGGCCGCACAACGAGTTGCGAGTTGTGCCGAGGAAAAAGAGAAAGCCCTCCATAGTATTTGTGAAAGGTGTGGGACATGCGGAGTGGTTGCCCGAGGACTCTGAGCAAAAGCAGAAGCAGTCCAAGGAGGAGGACGAGGAACTCTCCGAACTCTTCAGTGGTAGTGACTGATCCAGAAGAAAAGGAGACAGTCCGAGATTGTAGAAGGCCCACGGGTTGTGATTTAGAATATTGATGAATATTGTAGATACAAAAATGACGGGCTGATGAGTTATGAGTATGGATTCGTAATTGCGAGAATATGGTTGAGTGCGAGACTGCAGGACGTGTGTGTGTATATATAAATACGTATATCTATATATATATATATTATATAATTATAACATACGCACACACATACATACACCTACCTATATATATACTGTGTATTTCTGTATAGGTCGTACAATAACACTAATATATACATTCAGCGTACTCATATGTATATGTATATATATATATAGATACGTACACACACATATATATATTATATATATATCCGCTAGTGTGCAGTGCATGCCCAGATTTGAGATCGCTTGCAAGTGAGTCAGTTTTTTTTACTTGAAGGCATTCAAGGGCATTGTTTGTTTCACGAAATCTAGAACAATCAAAACAAGGTTGTCTTTTTTTCTCCCTCCTTTGTGAGCAACATGAAATTCAACTATAGACAACAGACTTGTGTTGACATGTATTGTATGCTTGATTCACCAATTGCTGTTTTGGTCAAATTCCAATCAAGATTACATAATGAAAATGATAACCCGAAGATTGTTTCGAATAACTGAGTTTTTTTTTTGGTGGAAAGGAACCAAAGGAAATGAACGGGCTGTAGGAAGTCTTGCTGACTGACATCAGTCTTTGATTGATTGAAACATTGACGGAGTGACTTAGTGAATGACTGAGTAGCGATATTGGCAACAACTGAAAGAATGCATGGGAGAATCTCTAGCGGATCACGGGTAGACTCAAACTGAATGAGCCTTCTATTCTCTGATTTACTTCTTCTCTGCGCTACTTCTCCAAGCCAAAGACCATTGTGACCATAGCAGCCATATGGTTCCCATTGCTTGCGTGCTAACAAGGCTCCAAATCAGTCGAGCCTGTTGCGACCAAAACCCATTCATACACAACATGAACTAGCATTCTGATTTCAAGCGGCAATTGCATTTTATTCCTCGGCCATTGGCTTCTTGTTGATTTCAACAGTTTGTGTTTGATCCTGGATAGAGTGCACAAGAAGAACAAATTTCAGATGAACTGACTTGAATCGCAAGTTCACCGTCATTTAAATGAAATTTGTTGCGATGGAATTTAAACCGCGGTTGTGCCAAAATTCCTGTGCCAATACCAAAACAGTTGCATACTGTCTTTTATTCACTGGCTAGAAACAGCACAGTACAAATTCATTGTTTTGTACTGCAATTTTTGATTCAGCTTCATGCCCCATGGTAGCACGTTGATTGTGCTGTTTTGGCAACTTGCTCATGCTTGGAACTCCAGCATTTGCATGCATGCAGCAGAAGTTGAGATTAGGAATGCGCCGGAAAAGTCACAGATGTTTGTGACAACGTCCCATTTGTACAAACGACACCTCGCTGAATATTTTTGTGGAATGGGCGGAAACATGACAGCTTTAGAGCTGGGAGTCTATCATGGCCACACTACGGCAGTGTTGGCTGCAATTTTCAGGAGAGTCATTTCAGTTGACATTGAAAAGGAATACTTGGAGGTCGCATCAAAGAATGCGGCTGCACATTCAAATGTCATTTTTCTTTCAATGGACCTAATGGCTGATGACTGGACGATATTTTCGACAAATCAAGTGAGTGTCGGAATTATTGATGCAAATCACCACTACGAATATGTCATGGCGGATGCGCAAAATGCATTGCGCCACCTACCCCACCTCCAGTATTTGGTATTTGACGACTACCATGAAGAAGAAGTGGAACGGGCCGTGACAGAGTTGGAAGAAGCTGGTGTCCTGGTGGAATGCCAAGGAATCGGCAATGGCTGGAACGGTTCCCCTTGGGAGTTTCAGGACTGGGATCCCGGAAGTGGCCAGCAATTTAAGCGGTGGACAACTCAGTCGGAAGGCCGAATCTGCAAGCGAAGTCCAGCGAGAGCTGGCTGGAAGACTCTGCCCGGTTTCGTGAACAAACGTTTTTTTGTTTACAGGCAGCCTTTGACACATTTGTGTCAAGCTGGTGTTTTTCGATTTCTGGCGAATGGAACCCTGCTAACATCTTGGGAAAGTGGAGGTGGAAGTTGGCAAGCAGCTGCCAGCACCACCCGCGAAGATTTGCTCATCCTGAAGCTGCCTGGATTGCTTTCCTCTGAGCTGGAACTAATTTTCAATTCTGGCCGTACAGCGTTCATGTTGTCTGAAGTAGGCTCGTCCAGAGCTGACTGGTTTGGTATTTACGACCAGCTGGTCAACCGGCCCTTTCAAATTGCCAGTAGTCTCTTCTGATTGAATTCCTGCGAAAATCTACGAGCACGGTGCAAGCCTGTGGATTTTTCCAAGACTTGCAACGTCTCTTGGTGTGCCTCTCCATCTGATTCCCTATTTGTATGTCTCCACCCTTCTATGCAAGAAGTCATTTCAAAGCTTGACACATTCAAAAATGCACAATTACAAGAGCGGGATGTATTGAAATTCGAGCTGTCCTGATGTCCAGGACCATCCATCGAATTTGCAGTGTTTTGGCTCATCCGTGGTGGCGCAGGATCTGGCTGCCTGGCCAATTGTGCTAGGGCCAGTTGCTCCAGGGGAGCAGCTTTGGCTCATGTCTTCTCCTACGGGCACGCCGGCGATGCCTTCTGTTCCAGAGCTGTCCTCAATGCACGGTAGATACCATGTTTGTGAATTGCCTATGTGGTCCTGCCATTGGTAGATCTGGTGGATGATTGTTTGCTTACCAAGGATTGGGCACATCCGACACCCTCCCCGTCATTGATGGTCCGAACCTTGGTTTTAGATTGCAGTCAGTCTGAAAACGTTACACATTTTTTGGCCTGCAGGTTCGCATGCCTGATCCGAAAGCATGGCAAGCTCCACACTTTGGTTCAATGCAACTTGGCACTGGGAATTCGTTTCGAGCTCTTTGATGTCCATTGGATCTTCCAAGGATGAATGGCAAAGCCATGACCCAGCATGCCCAGCCAGAGCAGAACTCTGAATCTCTTCGAGCTTTACTGTCACAGGCATGCCGTGCAAAATGCTGTGACTTGTCACTGTCAGTTGCTGGCAATATCACGTGTTTTTTTTTCTCCGGGCCATGTTGATCAGGTTTGTGCTCCTTTTGTGCAGGGTATGTTGAGCCTCGGCATGCAGCCGTGCAGGCAATTTTCTGCTTTGAATTGCACAGTGTTGCAAGCAATCCATGATTTTGTCGTTGACATGTGGCACTGAGCCTTTCAGGAATGCCGCGGCTTGGTGGCACAAAGACTTTGATCGCATTTGCAGAGCCCAGTGGAGTCATGAAGCTATTTGATATCTGGAAATGCCCTATTGATCCCACACTAGAAAACCAGGTTGAATATGGGGAATAGTATTCTCCAAGCATTCCTACATCCTCCAAGAAAGTGACCGCTTGTCAACCAACCATGTTAAGGGATCCTTACAAGTAGTACCAACGAGTCTGGGGCGGAAGTTTCAGGACATAAAGACTTATACTTATACTATCTTATACTTATAGGCTATATAGGCAAAAAAAAGAATGTGCCTACGGAGTGTTTTGACATCCCTTCCTCTCGGCGTCTCTTCATCTTCGGGTCTCTTTCTCTTGACAAATTTTCTCTTGATATCTCTTTCTCTTGACCTCTTTATCTTGACAACTGGCAACTCTTTCCCTTGCCTTTTTCTAACAACTCTTCCTCGTGTCGCCTTTCTCTTGATGCTATACATAGCTTCCAGAACCAGATCTCCATGTCCCAGCAGGAAAAGACAGAACGAGTACGTTTTTTAAGCATTAAGAAAATCTACGCGGAGAATAGAACGCACCAAAATTGGAGAAAACATCGCCAAACAGCAGCATTGTGCAACAATTCAATTGAGAAAGTCACATTGAGGCCGCAATTCGACTGCGCTCAACTTCTCTTCCCTTTTCCCTTTTCCCTTTTCCCTTTTCTCTTTTCTCTTTTCTCTCCTCCCCTCCCCTCTCCTCTGCTCTTCTCTTCTCTTCTCTTCTCTCCTCTCCTTTGCTCTGCTCTTCTCTTCTCTACTCTTCTCTACTCATTCTCTGCGTTTCTTAGATCTCCGTGATGCTGAAGTTTCTTTGCGAAACATCCTTTGGAAAAGCTTGCTCAAACTAGTCCAAACATTGGGCCAGGTGGAGCAGCTAGTTGAGAAAGAAGTTGAGCGTCAGGTAAAGCAGCTTCGACAGCAGGACTGTGTTTTTGTGTGTATGTATTTGCATGCGTGGTACAAATCCCATATCACAGGTAAGGGTCAACATTTATAATATTTAAACAATATATTTAAAAGTTATAAGGCACTGGGCCCGGGCGCCCACAGATCTGATCATTCTGGTGTCAACCATGACCTTTGCGAGGTACCCAGCTGTGAGCCACAAACTACACATTAAGTGGATCAAACAGAATGGCTTGACAGTCGACTGTGTGAAGACATCTCCATCCCCTAGATCCATTGAGTTATCCAAGTTATCGAGGACCAACTTTCCGCAATGCATTGGCCACATCGGCGGCTGAGCAGAGAGCAGCAGCAGCAGCAGCAGCAACAGCACCTGCAGCAGGCGCAGCTGCAAGCGCAACAGCAACAACGTGCTGGTTTTGGAAACACTTGCGAAAATATGCCGTTTGGAGCCTTTGAAGCATGAAGACATGAAGAGAGGACAATTTCAATCCAAATTTGTACTGTATCCTTTTGTGAATTTGACTCTTGTGATTGAGGGCTTGGAACCTTTGCGAGAGATGTGCGAAGTTGTACCGACTGAAATGGAGAATCTTAGCAGCTGCATGCATGACTCAGGAACAGTGTTCGAGTCCATTGGAGGAGGTCAAGGTGAAATCGTTTTGCTCTAGTGATGGAGCGTCGGGGCCTTCGCAGGGATCTCTACTTTTCTGTTCTACTTTTCTGTGCAGGTGAAGCTGATTCCATGAGGGGGAACGTAGCAGCCGTACCGCTGCCCGAGGAATCTTCTGAGGTTCCTGAGCGTTTTCCGATTTTGCCATGTTGGACCTGTTGGATCGTGGATTTTGGCATTGTGTGACGGCAACAGGATGAGGCCGAAGCTGAAGGTGAACAACGAGGACTGCTGAGAGATTTATCAGTGGCTTTGCAGTTCAACTTGCGGCAAGCTTTGGTGAACAGGACAGTTCCAGGTGCTTTTTGGAGGAAAAGTGCCTGCATCTTGTTCCAGGTAGGGAGTTGCCTAATTTTTGTGGACCTTCAGTTGATCATGCTGCCCTTCAGGTCATCTTCGCGATCCGGAAGGTCAACTTCGTCAGAAGACCCGAAGCCTCCAGGTGCAGCTCACTTGGGTGCAGGGGATGGGATCAGATGGAGACACTGATTGGAACACGGCAGACATGTCTATCCGAGTCTATCCAATCTGAAATCACCACATGGTGACCATATTTTCCAATGATTTGTGCATATTTGTGCCCACATGGCCTTCCTTTCCAGGTTTTGGAGCTTCTGCAATGGGCCAAAGAGCTGCACAGGGAGAGGGTGACCCGCTCTACTTGCAGTGGTCTTCCCAAGGCCGATGTGTGAGAGAAGTGTCTTTCGATTGAAGGCACCAACAGAAAGATGTTGAGATCTTGGCACAAGGTCAAACGGTCGGAGAGCGCCCAGCCTTGACGCCAACAGTATCCCCTGTGCCACCTCATCTTGCTCCATCTATACAAGGACCGATCCCTGGGAGAACCATCTTGGCAATTCTTGGCATTCCTGCTTCCAGTTGAAAAGCAAACAACTAGCCGATCATATCGGCTGAAGAGCCCATGTTGACCTTTGAATTTGAATCCTTTGATTAGGAATGAACGCTTCGAATTCAGCCGTACCGATGGATGGCAGTTCCTTGGCCGCAAGACGCAGACTCGACGCAGACTCGACGCAGACTCGACGCAGACGGGATCCGCTGGAGCTTAGGCCAAAGTCCTGAAAGTCCAGCTGGCCAGGCGTCAGCACTGAGCCACGGTAGATCATCACTGTTGGGTGCAGTTTACATCAGTTTACCATCGTAAGTATATAAACTATATATATATATATATTTATTTTATATATATATATATGCATATGCGTGTTTTTATTTGTGATTTGCTGGCAAAAAATAGATAGGTTGACAGCATTCAAAAAGAATATTCAAAGCAAATTGTGACAACTCACACCAGTCATGATTGCAAAGATGGGTGGTCTAATTCTGAAACCGACCTCTCGAATCATATGGTCCATCTCGACTTTGAGATCATCTTGAAGATGGTGGACCCTGCCTGTTTGGCACATCAGTTGCCACAGTTTCTCATCAGCCCTGACTTTCCATAACTTTGCAGATGATATATTCAAAGCGTTTCAGGCACGTTCAACGTCCAGCAGAAGAGTTCATCTCAGAACCTGGAACCTTCCTGCTTTGCTGTATTTTGGTGCTGTCTTCCCTTGTTTCCGAAACACTCGCAGTCATTTCTTGCAGTTGGATTTGCTCAAAAGCATGAGCGGTCGAATCTTGTTCATCAGCCATGGCAATAGTATGGCGTTGTGCACTACGCCGAGATTGCCAAAATGGAGGGCACTGATGACTAACTGACTAAATGACGCCAGCTCCTTGCCATGTAGAGCAACATGACTGGAACACCTAGTGGAAGGCCACTATGCCCAGATCACTTCATCCTGCAAGAGTACGATTGTCACGTTGCCTTGCACAATGAGATTTTTTGGCACAGAGAAGAGCTTCGCTTCCCAGAACCACGCGACGCACACTGAAGTAAGAAAACCTGAAGTGACGGGCTGGATGGTGCAAGCATCGGATTGACATGCACCGGAACTTTGGCAATTTGTTCCCACATCAGACCATGCCCCTGCTGCATTGTTTGATCATGGGGAAGCCCTGATGCACTACAGATGGGGGCAGTGCGGCTGTGCCTGATACAATGATACAACGAGCCATCAGCAACTGCGATGCTCATGGGTGGCATGGCTTTGAAAGCAGCTCTTGCGGGAAGGAAAAAAGGTTTGGCCCTTCAACTTTGACAAAGTGTAATATGCTGGCGCAGTCATGAGCCATGAGTGACATTATATATATATTATATGGGTGTGTATACACATATACGATACACAAGTGTGAGCTTGTCGTTTGTCACTCTTGCCAGGTCTCGAGGGCATCTCGGGGCTTCTCTCAAGGAAGCCACTAAACATACTAAACAGCTGAGCAACAGAATGAAGAAACTGGTGTTGCGGCAGAATATGGCAAACATGTTTGAACATTGATGCCTGATGGTCTCACTGGTTTCTGGGTGCCAGCCTTCAGAGGATGAACCCACACAGTGCGACAGGCAAAGTCTGCAGTTGTTTGCCGACACTGGAAGTCAAAAGGATGGTGCCGTTTGGGGGATGAATGCCAGATACTCGAGTTGATTGCAGTGAGGCCAACATGGAGCGGACAAAGCACTCTTTGAACTAGTCCCCAACGGCAGCCGTTGGGTTTCAATCTCTAGGGTGGTGGTGTTGCGTTCCTCCCTCTGGCATGTATGCGCAGGGTTCGACCTTGTCTGCCACTGTGTCTCCCAGCTTCTCCCACTGCGCCCCTTAACATAGCCTTGGAACCTTGTCTGCCGCTTTATTTGCCACCTTGTCTCCAAATTGTCTCCAAGCTTGTCTCCCACTGCGTTTTGCACTGTGTCTCCCACTTGTCTCCCACCTTGTCTGTCTCCCACCTTGTTTCTTTTGTGTTTATCAGTTGTCTCCCAGTTGTCACACACACTGTGTCTTTAATTGTGTTTGCTTGTTTCATCTTGTTTCCAACTTTGTTTCCCACTTTGTCTCCCACCTGGAACCTTGAAACCTTGTCTCCTACCTTGTTTCTTCAACTGTGTCTCGAAATTTGTCTCTCATCTAGAACCTTGGAACTTCTCTCCCCCTTGTCTCCCACTTTGGCTCCCACTTTGTCTTCCATCTTGTCTTTGTCTCCCACCTTGTCTTCCACCGTGTGTTCGGCCTGGATCCTTGTCTCCCACCTTGTCTCTCAGTTGTCTCCTGGTTCCCAGCAGCCGAGAGCTGTTGGGTTTCAGTTTGTAGGAAGCAGGGGTGTGGTATCCCGACTTCGCCGCTCCCCCATGCATGCCCAGGGTTCCGGGAACCTTGGAACCTTGTCTCCCAGTTTGTCTCGCACCTTGTCTCCCAGTTTGTCTCCCACCTTGTCTCCAGCTTTGTTTCCCAGTTGTCTCCCACTTTGTCTCCCACTTTGTATCCCGCTTTGTCTCTCAATTGGTCTCCTGCTTTGTCTCCCACTTTGTTGCTCACTTGTTTCCCACGTTATCTCCCCTTGTGTTTTGCCTTTGTCTCCCAATGTGTTTCCCACCCTCTCTGTCTCCCACTGTGTCTCTCACCGTGTCTCCGACTTTGTCTCGCAGCTTGTCTCCCACTTTGTCAGTTTCCCCTTTTGTCTCGTCTTTGTTTTCCACTCTGTCTCCCAGTGTGCCTCCCCACTTGGTCTCCCACTTTGTTGCCCAGCTTGTGTCCTACTTTTTCTCCTACTTGTTTCCCGCTTTGTCCTTACTGTGTCTCAAGCTCTGTTTCCTCCTTTGTTTCCCACTGTGTCGCCACTTTGTCTGTCATTTTGTTTCCACGCTAAAAAAAAACATCTGGCCCAAACATGGACGCCACTCAGGAACCTTTTCACCTTGAACTTGGAATCTTCACAGCTGTTGGATTGCAAAGCTGGGTTAATTTTATTCAGAGATTCTGGTTTCCTGGTGCTTTAGTTGTGCGCAGTCAAGTCCAAGCTATGTGCTCTTTCTGGCGCAATGTTTGAGGTAAATTTGCTCATCCAGAGCACAAATGTGGAGCAGGCTTAACCAAGAAGGCTTTGGTGAAGCAACAGTCCGAGAACTATTCGCAATGATCACAGCCAGGTAAAATAGGCAACCAGTGCAACAAGTGCGGGTCGGCCCTGCTGGGAGGCAGACAAAGAAAAGGGCCCCCCTGGTTCCCGCCACTCGATGGCAAGAATCACAACCAATTGGGCCATGTCCTGGTTGTCAGGGAAGTGGTGAAGCTGTTGAAATCCAGTTCCATATGGCGCTGACTAAGGAGCAGACGATGGGCCAAATCAGGCAGTGATCTTGTGCAATCTAAGCAGCCTAGAGTCTAAACAGTGCAAGAATATGGTGGCGTTTTGCTCTGCAATAGCCAGGACAAGAAGGAGAAACTTGACAAGCCGAAGGGGAAAAAGAAAAGTAAAGACATTGGCAGCAAGGAGGTTCGATTCCAGCTGCCCTCATATTTTATGATGGAAGGTCAAATGCGCTGCAACTTGTTTGCAGGTGCCTCGCACCTCTCCTGCTCTAACTCCAGGCGCGTTGGTGGTGGTTCTAACACTTCAGGCTTAAGAATGGGATCCATTTCTGACCCTGTCCAACCAGGTTTGGTTAACCCAAACTGATAATGAACCGTGGGCTGCCTCGAAAGCCAACAGCTGCCAGCTGCCTGCGCATCAAGCAACCAAAGCAACCCTAATCTTTCATACTTTTAGCAACAGTTGGGTACAATGTGGTAAAACCAAATTGAAAGGCAGATTTGACATTGACATGTGGTTGTGGTTGCGCAAGCTTTAGATGAGGGCGCTGGCCCTCTTCAGACCTCTTTATCTAGCGGCAAAACCCATGGCTGTCCAACAGCTGAAAGCTTGGAACGGTCGTGTGGTGATGCAGCGGCTTGAAGTAGTGACGCGACTGTACAAATTGTTTTGTGTCAGGCAGCACCTTTAACACGTGGCCCAGAAGGCACAACCAGCTTCCAACCAGCTTCCCAGTCCAATAACTATTCCTTTTGCAAGACGGGTGTGGTTGAGGATGCACTTTGCATAGGCTTCCAGCAAAAAATAGCATAAGTGTGCCGTGAGAAATTCACAGCATATTATGAAAAGGCCATAGTTTTGTGGAAGCTCTAGAAGCATGAGAGCTTTGGCTCTCGTGCAGATGTACATGGCCAGCTCCTTATTTTCCGCCAACACAGGGCACTGACGTGAGAGCCGTTCGCCAAAGGCAACGGAATTCTTTCAAATACTGGGAAAAAGCGTGCACAGCGATGGCACTGATTCTTTCATCGTTTGACCTTTGCCTTCAAAGTCTAAAGACTGTGACTGCGGTGACAATGCAGTGCGGGATATGTTCATGCTAGGTTTAGCTGTTTGGCTGCCAAATGCTGTCTAGAGGCTTCATAGGGCATGCCACTTTCTGTCACGAACTGTGTCATCTAGGAAACATGGTCTTTTATTGAAGCTTCGGGCATTCTTTTGGGCAGAGTCACATGGCTAGAAACGATTATTTCCCATGATCCTGTTCCTCTTTACATGGAACTGCTACAGCGCCGTCGACGAGAGTAGATCCAAATTCCAATGGCCGACTGGGACCGGGCCGTGGTGGGACAGTTTTCAGAATTGGGAGTTCAGCGTTGCCGTGCGGTGATGAAGTTCGCTTATTGGTGGGGGTTTGACACCAAGATGAACAAGAAAATTGAAATAAAGAGAGAGAGAGAGAGAGCAAGTTGCTCGTGCGTAGGTTAGAGAGAGAGAGAGAGAGACAGGCGCGAGGAGAGGGGGATAGAAGGATGGATGGGTCGATGGGTCGATGGATGGACCGCTTTACTGTGAACTAGGGCCCCTAGGCTAGACGGATCTAGACGGCCAGACTCGGCTGGACTAGATCAGATCAGTAGGGAGATAGATAGATAGATAGAAAGAAAGAACGAAAGAAAGACAGAAAGAAAGAAAGAAAGAAAGACAGAAAGACAGAAAGACAGAAAGACAGAAAGACAGAAAGACAGACAGACAGACAGACAGACAGACAGAAAGAAAGAAAGAAAGAAAGAAAGAAAGAGGGAAAGAAAGAGGGAAAGAAAGAGGGAAAGAAAGAGGGAAAGAAAGAGGGAAAGAAAGAAAGAAAGAAAGAAAGAAAGACAGAAAGAAAGAAAGACAGAAAGAAAGAAAGACAGAAAGAAAGAAAGAGGGGAAGAAAGAAAGAAAGAAAGAAAGAGGGGAAGAAAGAAAGAAAGAAAGAAAGAAAGAAAGAGGGGAAGAAAGAAAGAAAGAAAGAAAGAAAGAAAGAAATAAAGAAAGAAAGAAAGAAAGAAAGATAGAAAGAAAGAAAGAAAGAAAGAAAGAAGGAAAGAAAGAAAGAAATAAGGAAAGAAAGAAAGAAAGAAAGAAAGAAAGAAAGAAAGAACGAAAGAAAGAACGAAAGAAAGAAAGAAAGACAGAAAGAAAGAGGGGAAGAAAGAAAGACAGAAAGAAAGAAAGAAGGGAAGAAAGAAAGAAAGAAAGAAAGAAGGAAAAAAAGAAAGAAGGAAAGAAAGAAAGAAAGTAAGAAAGAAAGAAAGAAAGAAAGAAAAGAAAGACATAAAGAAAGAAATAAAGAAAGAAAGAAAGAAAAGAAACGAAAAGAAAAGAAACGAAAAGAAAAAAGAAACGAAACGAAAAGAAACGAAAAGAGAAGAAAAGAACGGAAAAAAAGAAGAAGGAAAGAAAGAAAGCAAGGACAGAAATAAGGGAACGAAAGAAAGAAATGACGAAAGGAAAGAAAGAACGAAAGAAAAAGAAAGAACTAGTGAAGATATTTGATTGGAAAATGAGATAAGTTTAGGTTGAATTGTCGAAACAAGAATAAAATAGATAGACACATAAACTTGCATCCAAGTGCACACACACACACATAAACACAGGTCATTGCTTTTCTTCTGCACAATTCTCTTACGATACAACCCTCGAAGGCCATACTAGATATACTAGAAAATCGTTTCGTGACTCTCTGATTCCCATACCCTGGAGAACTCGGTTGTATTAAAAAATGTGTTGGACATTGGGCCATGATGTTTTTACTTTTATCTTTTTCTATCCAAGGCACATGAGATGATTGCATATGATTGCGATGATTTCTTGGTGAATGTCATGAATTGTCATGAATTGTCGACTTTCTTCGCGGAGGATCCCTTCGCAGACCCCGGTGATGATGCCACTCTGCAAGAGACGAAACCAGAGAAGGCACCTGAAGCCGCGCCAAGTGGCAGAAGTTTTGGCCTGAGATGAAGATTTTTACACATGTTGACTTAAAACATATGCAGAAAACCATTGATTCTTTGTCTACCATTAAGAAAACACGGAAAGTTTCGCTGTGAATCTGCACTGAAACTTGAAATCAATCCTCGTAGGACAGTGGGAATGGCCAAGCAGTAGTTGCCGAGGAAAGCCCGTGGACGACATTTTTGCGGCGTTCCGTTCAGAGGAAACAGTAGCAAAAGCAGGACAAACACCTTCAGAACTTTCTGCAGTGGTTGCTTGGCCGCATCTTCAAGCGACGAAACATTTTCCAGAAGACCCACAGTTCCCGAATTTGGTTTGTTGCAGCAAGGATCCCGCTTCGATTGAAGAGCAATTGGACAAACTGTTCAGCAACTTGGCCATCTGTGGCGTGCTTTTGCTGCGCCCTCAACCGTGTCAAGCTTTTGCAGACTACTAGAGGCATCAGCGATGACGACGTAGAATCGCTTCGAAAGGAGTTTGCAAGTGACTTGGGTGGCACATTTGACGCGTACCAAAGCGTCTTTGCAAACCAGATTGATTGCAACACACACCATGCTGAGATGCCTTAAGAAAGTCCACAACGCCACGTGGGCAATTCTTCAGGTCTTGCCACGCTGGCAGTGGGCAGCCACTTCCTGCCCATGTGGCGACGTTCCTTGCCGCTGCTTGAACTGCAGGATCGGCACTCTTGGGCACTCTGATAACATCAAGTTCCCAAACTTCCATGGGGCCCTGGTTTCACCCCCAAATACCCTGTCCCTCGTCAGAAGCGCTGTTGCAAGCCCCTGCACGCCTTTGCATGCAAACCAGAATCATTTCCTCCAGTTTGCTGCATGATGTATCATATCACAATAATTATATGACTTCTTTGCCTTCAATTCCATGGGTTGGCAAACCAGGCTCCGTGCAAGAATTTACTTGGGCCTGGGCCTCAATTTCATGGCTGTGCCTCAGGCTTCAGATTCTACTTTTAGCACTGAGGCTTATGATCGATGATTGTCTTGGCTTTTTGGCTGACCCCAGACACTCAGATTGCAAAGAGTCTGGACGGCTGTAGATGATTTTAGATGCCCTTTCTCTTTTCGTGGTTTAGTGATGCCTCTCCAAGTATTTGTGAATATTTGAGGCAGCAACGGCAAAAATGCTACTTATGTCGATGTGCCAGCGGCTGAACGAAGCAGCGAGGCGACACCATTCAAGTGGAGGTTGCTTCGACAGCCAATGTAGAGATCAGCTTGTTGTGGTTGTGAATTGTGATGTGAATGTGAAACTTGAAACTTCTTCTGAACTTGTTGTTCTCTTTTGTTTGGTATTTGCCGAGTTCATACCTCTCATATCATGATGTCAGAATGTGTGTGAGAGATGTGTGCTGGTGAGCATGTTTGGTCGGGCATGGCTCACCGTGTAGATGTAATATTCTGTAAAGGCAAGCTTAGGAGCTTGGAGAAAGCAACAGCAACAACACCTGAAGGCGAAACAGGTTGGGACAAATCCTTGGCAATTTCAATCATCAGGTGGACTAGGTGGATATTTGATTGCTTTTGCAACTGTCCACAGTTATGTAAGTTCGATTTCGACACGTGTTGATTAACTCCAACTTCATTTGATTCACAGCCCTCTGAGCCAAAGCCATGGTTCGCACATATCTTGCGGCGTTTTTCTTTTGCTTGCTTCCAGCAGCCGAATCAATCGTAAATATTGCTGATCCACTGTACACCAGTCGGGCAGATCACATTCAGCGAACCAAGCTCTTTGGGAATATCAATGCTTTCGCCTATTACTTTGCAGAACTCCTGGTTGGAACACCTCCTCAACGAGTCTCAGTCATTATTGATACAGGTAGTGGTCTTTGCGCCTTCCCCTGTGTCGGTTGCTCTCATTGCGGCAAGCACTTGGATCTACCTTTTGATCGAAATGCATCAAACACCAGCCAGGTGCTACCCTGTGGCATTGGCTGTGATCGGTGCACTAACAACCAGTGTGGCTATCTTGAAGAGTACACCGAAGGCAGCCGGATTGCTGGAACTTGGTTCAAGGACTTGGTCCAGCTGAATGGTTCAGACAAAGACAACAAGCCAGTCCGTGTCTCTCTTGGGTGCCACACTGATGAAAGGCACCTCTTCTACACACAGAAGGTCAATGGAATTCTGGGTCTGGCACCTCACAAGATAACAGGAGCGTCCAATCTTCTGGAAGAACTTTACCAAGACAAGAAACATGTGAACCATGCGGTGTTTTCGCTCTGCCTGGCAGAATGGGGCGGCTTATGGACTGTGGGTGGTTATGACGGCAGCTTCATCCTGCCTGGTTTCACATTGCTGTGGATGCCATTGCACCACATTGGGTATTTTGGGATACATTTGACAGAAATCCGATGTGGAGCTCAAGTCGTTGGTGCCGAGTCAGATTTTGGCACCACGATTCTGGACACAGGCACCACCTTTTCATATTTTCCACATCAGACCTACTATACATTGATAACTGCCTTGAAGACCCAATGCGTTGGGATCAACTGCGGTGCAAGTCCCGTGCCTCACACTTATCAGACGTGCTGGAAGCTCTTGACTGGAACAAAGCCTCGCCAGTTCCCAAACATAACTGTTGCAGTGGGCGATGCTCAAACTACTTTCATTTGGCAACCAGAGGCGTACATGTTCAGAAGACACAACGATGAGAACGAATGGTGCTTTGCCTTCGCTGACAACAAAATGAGTCACACAACAGTGCTTGGCACCTCCTTCTTTCTGCACAAGACAGTTGTTTTCGACACCTCCAAATCCCAGCTGGGGATTGCGGAGTCGGCGTGCCCCGAATACCACTACAGAACTCCAAAAGCTGAGACAGGGCAGTTGTTGATAGCGCAGGTGTCTTCCCCACGATCATCTCCAGCATCTCAATTTGACCTGCCAAGTGAGGGAAACATTCACTTTCTTGCCATTTGTTTGGGAGTAGTTGGACTTCTACTTTTGTTGGTGGCTTGTGCGATGTGCCTGTGGGCGTACCTTGTAGAGGAGGAGGACGATGAAAGCGAAGTTCAACTTGCAGATCGCAAATTGGTTTCTGATCTGGAGTGATGATTGAGCGATGGTCCGAGCCAATGAGCTCAGCAAAAAATGATGATGACACGGCATGGAATTGCACAGTGTGGTAGATGCTCTAGAGACTTTTTAGGGCACTCTTACGATGTCTTATGTTTAGGTCAGCCGTGACTGTGCAGGTGGTTTTCTTGCTGGCATGGGGAGGTGGCCATCTTTCGGACCGCACTTGCACATTCTACACTAAGAAATGTAGGGCATGGTGAAATGTGATTGCAACCGGAGTGCACGTTATAATTTCAATCATAATAACTTTGAGGAAAGCTGGAGAGGTATGACTCTATGGCTCTATGGATGATGTGTCGTTGAAGCCAACGGTGGTTTTCATGATGGCGCAGGACATGCAAGATCTGGTGGAGTGGTACAGCAGCTCGTCATGCAGATTGATGTAGTGATTCGGTGAAGTCATCGACGGCAAGATCCTCAGGAGAGATTTTTCCCGGCTGCACCATATTTATCTCCACCAGCAACCAGAAGCAAAGCTCCTTGACAGCAAAGCTCCTTGGTGAGTCTTTGCAACTGACCTGCAACTGACCTGACCATAAGGAAAATACGGAACATATGCATCCAACAGATGCCATGTTGGTAAGGTTTTGGTCTCCGGTGCCAATGCCCCTTGCTTGCAAGATGCCTTTCGGCAGCCCATCGCAGCTCCTTCCGCCCCTTATGATTTGCACCATGGTCAGGTGCGCAGGGGATTCGTGCTGCTGCAGATGCATGGTCGCTCTCTTCGGCTGACCCAAAATTGCTGGTGGGTAGCTCCAGCTGTACGGCCCAAGAAATGACGACAGCCCTCGGGTTGTTTTGGGTGCCTGTTTCTGAAGAGGACCTGTTAAACAGGGGTGTTTCGTCAGGTGCACCTCTTCAGCAATTCCGGGATGCATGCTTGGACAGAGCTCCTGCATCTTGGATTGGATACATTGCCTCCCGCAGACTCTCGCATTTGCGGATATGATGGCACCATGAACATCTCTTGGTGAATTTTAGAACTGGTAAGAAACAATGATCTTGACTCAAATCTCAACTCCTACAATGTGGCTGAGGTTTCAGCCGAGAGAAACGTGTTTGACTGTTTTTTCGACAAATCGATTCTAGATTTATATAAGTATATATAAGTGTGAAGATAGGGCATATTCAACCCTGAAGATACTTGGTGCAGCCTCAATTCATTTTTGCGAGACCCGACAGCCATTTGGCTACCAGTCGCGGACCCTGTGGAAAAGGGACATGGCGCTTGCTTTTTGAGGGCGTTGGCAACATTTCACTGGCACCGGAGCCTAGGTTGTGGAGATCCAGGGCGAGCACTGAGGGTCAGTGCTCGAGGCAAAGGGGAAGTCTTTGGCATCCTCATTGGCGAGGGCCTTGTGGAGGTTCTTGGGTTTCTTTGGCTTGGGCCGCGGAACAGGGTTGCTGCGACTGGTATCAGTATGAGCTCATACTATGGGGACGCGTGGGCCACCTATGGGGTAGAGATAGATAGCTTCGAAGGTCCCTCTGAAGAAAGTAGCAGAAGAAGTGAAACTTCGGGCTGGTCACAGTGGAGCGTAGGTGGTAGGAGACAGAGAGAAGAGGTGAACACTGAATGGTTTGAAATGGCATCCAATGCCTCCGGGGAGGGGTCACAATCGTCATGGTGGAAGGGAGACTGTTGGTCATGGGATTCTTGGGACGGTTCATCGTCCGGCAGTCGTGAAAACTGGGCGTATGTGACGCGTAGAGAGCCTGGAGGGTATTGGGAGCATTCAGATCCATGGCATCAGTGGCATGGCAGCTGGCGAGAACATGCACCTGGTCAGGGAGAAGTTCGACGTTCAGCACAAGGTCAAGGTAAAGGTTCAGAACAACCTGATCATTCGGGAGAATCCGAAGGAGAAGATCGACCTAAAGGTGATTTACCGAGTGGCAAAATCACTAGCGTGCAAGAGAGAGCAGACAAAGAAGAAGAGAAAAAGCTTTCGGGCAAGGTCTCCAATAGCTATCCCCCAGTTTTTCGAGCTCGACAAGGTGAAAATTATCGAGACTGGAAGAGATCTGTCAAGTTTTGGCTACATGGTGAAGGACAACAACTTCCCACAGGCTTGGTTGGCTCTAGGGTCATGGTGCAGCTACGTGACCGAGCAGCACAACTCGTCAAACATCTGGAGCCGGAAGATGTGAGTCAGAAAGATGGGCTCCAGCGGATCTTTGAGACGTTGGAAAAGAGTCCGCTCATCAAACAGAGCGAGAAGCATAGAGTGGATTGGCACCGGAAGAGACTTCTCACCTTGTCTCGGGTGGCCGGTGAGAGCTTGGAAAGCTACATCACACGAGCTGGACTTTATCGAGCACAACTTGAAGGACTAGATGCAGCTCTGAGCATGGGAGAAAGGTTTTTTGTGGGACACTTGATAGATCATGCAAGGTTGACGCGCCGAGACAAGGCGATGATCAAAACACATGCAGGAGATGAAGATGAAGTCTCGATCACGGGAGCAATGATGGAGTTGTCCAGTGAATTGGAGGGCGAGCAGGGCTATCCGATTGGTCAGGCCGAAGCTCAGTTGAGTGGAGCGCAAGGTGAAGAGCACTTGGTCCAAAGAGGAGTAATGGGCTTGCGTTTCAACAGGCGTGACAAGGCGGCTTTGGTGGCTGAAATGAATGAAGTGGAGACAGAGACCAATGTGTCTTTGGAGGGCATTCCAGAAGATCCAGCAGGAGATGACAGTGTGGATGAGTGCGATCCTCAGCTGCCAAGTGACGTTTTACATGCAGAACATGAAGCCCTGGCGTTGCAGTTCAGGGCAAAGCAGAAGATGGCCGAGGCACGAAAGATGAGAAACTACTATCGGAAGTCCGAAGGAGACACCAAGAAAACCTCCAAGGGTGGCAAGTGTTTCGTTTGTGACGAACCTGGGCATTTTGCTCGGGATTGCCCAAAGGTGAAGGCAGCACTTGCAGCCTCTCCGAATCCCGTTTTGGTTACGGCTCACAAGCTGGAGTCTGACAAGGAGACTGAATGGGGCTTGTTGGAGTCACTCTGCAAAGACAGCCTGAGCGCAGATTCTTCTGAAAGGGCAGTATACATGGTGCATAGGGCAGTTTGCGGGGAAGAGATGGGAGCCACCACCAAGAAACATGAAACTCCTGTAGTACCGTTTGAAGCATGGTGGAACATGAAGGAGTTGTCCAGAAAAGTCATTCTTGATCTAGGCTGCATGAGGAATGTGGTGGGTGTTCAATGGGCCAATGATGTGGTTTCGGAGTGGCAACAACAACAGCGATGGTTTCGGGTTTTGGAAGAGGACGAGGTGTTCAGGTTTGGGGATGGCAATACCTTAAGGAGCAAATATCGTCTACAACTTCAAGCAACTTTTGGTGGAAAGATGGTGTTGTTGGCCTTTAGCGTTGTTCCCGGTCCTTGTCCTCCACTCTTGTCCAAACAATCACATACACAACTTGGAGTTCAACTTGACACAGAACATCATACCATGTCTTCTAGGAAGCTGCATGTGAAGAACTATGGACTCAGTGAGACTAGGGCGGGGCACTACACGGTTCCTATAGATGAGTTTCATGTGATCGAAGAGGCAGGTGAGGCAGAGCATGAATTTTCGATGGAGCATCATCAAGAAGTTGGCTTGGTGCCGCATGCAGTCCATGAATGCGAAGTGTTTGGCTCCGAGAAACAACAATTCGAGACAGCCCACCGTGCCTCGCATGTCTGTGGTGAACCCGCCCCTATGTCGGATGTGCGGCATTGTGGGTCATCGGACTCGACAGTGTCCGAACTTGTCGGATCCCGAGTCTGTGGTGGAGCTGGAATCCCAAACTGGCGACAGCTTTCAGGAGGTGGAGCATCTTCAGCGCCAGGAAGAACCACGACAAGCTGCGAGAAAGGAGCCTCCCACATCGATGGAAGTGGACCGACCAGCCAAGGGACGCGGTCGCGGTCCCGCAGCCCGGGCAGCAGCCATCCGGGGAGAAGAGACAGCCAGGTCGAGCTCTACGCCCACAGAGCTGAAGGAGAAGACATCGACAACAAAGAGGTCGAGCAGAATCAACAGAGGCTTGCCCCCTTCAGAAGAGGAAGGTCCAGATCAGCGCATTGTGGAGACAGAGGCGATCCAAGGGCTCACCATGCAGGAGTTGCAGATGGTCTACAAGCACCGGGAGAAGGAGGAGGAGAAGGCCAAGAAGAAGATGGCGACGGCGGCACTCACAGGGTGGGAGTCGCGATATCCGTCGCTGAGCAATGTGTGGAGCGACGATTTGGCATGCAACATCCTGAAGTGCTTTCAGTCAAGGATGAGAACTTACCTTTGGAAGAAGGTGGTGTGGCAGTTGCGCGTGAAGGAGGCCATCCGGGTGGAGTCCAAGGGCAAGGCAACATGGAAACGCAATGTGAGGTGGCTCAACCCCTTACTGAGCACGGAAGTGGCGTCGACCTGGGGGCATTTCGGAGCAATGAGGCAGAGGCTGCGATCTTCGGACTTCACCGGGAAGAAGACTGGCACCGAGTTGCACCTCAGCGAGGGATGATCCAGAAGCTCAAGAAGGGCATGGGTGAAGTGTGTGCTCAACAGGCATTGGTCACTACGTTGGCTGGGGCAAGACCGTACTACATCGTCATGGAGATCTTCGCTGGATGCGCGAGACTGACGGCGAGGGCATCAGTGCGTGAGGGATGGCGAGCGATGGAGCCGATTGACATCCTTTACGGGTATGACCTGAAGAATCCGGTCACGCAGAAGGAGATCTTAGACCGAATCAAAGAACTCAAGCCAGATTTGGTCACTCTGAGTCCAAGATGCGGTCCATGGAGCCAGATGCAACGTATCAATCCGAACGTTGACAAGGTGATGGAAGATCGACAACAAGACATTCCTTTATGGAGATTCAGCCGGAAGGTTTGGGATGAACAGAATGGGAACGGTCGCCTGGTCATGACGGAGAACCCTTACCAGTCGGCTGCACTCACCATGGACTTCATGATGGAGCGCCCCAACTTGCACCGGGCCAAGATTCCTCAGTGTGCCTTTGGACTGAAGGATGCGGTCTCTGGCAAACCTCATCAGAAGTACACGGCCCTGGATGTGAATGATGCTGGCATGCGAGAAGCGTTGATGGAAGGAGCTGTGTGCAATCACACCCCTGAAGAACATCAACCCATCGAGGGCAATGTTTACTACAATGGGCGGTGGCAGCGACGGTCAGCTTTGGCGTCAAAATGGCCAGAAGAGCTTTGCGACCACATCTTGCGTGCAGCAGAGTGCGCATGGGAAAAATGTGATCAAAACGCACCGAGAAAGCTGACTGATGGCCGAGAAGCAGGAGAAGCTCACTACATTCTGCCGGTGGAGCCAATGCCGACTCCGGAAGGAGAACTGAGGAAGCAGCTGGAAAAGGCAGATTGGAGAGGTGGTCAGTATGACTACGTGTACTTCGATGGAGTTGCCCGACAAGGACCCTACAAGATGAGGCAAGCTTTGGCTCACTTGCATGTTGTGTTGGGCCACCCCTCGATGGAGCGGTTGGTGAGGATGCTCATGATCAGCGGCTGCAGCAGTCAAGTGGTGGAGATAGCAAAAGGGCTGCGATGTCAGATCTGCCAAGCAGTGCGTCCTCCTGGAGCTGAACCGAAGGTGGCAGCCACACGACCGACCAGATTTGGAGAACGGGTGTTGTCGGACTCCTTTTTCGTGTGGGATGTCAAGGGCGAAAGATTCAATGTCACTCACATGATTGACGGCTTGACGGAGTACCATATGGGCTTGGTCAGCAAACAGGTGGGAGCCGACGTCACCACAGAACTTTTGCAGAATCGCTGGTGCGCAGTGCTGGGGCCCCCGGAGGTGTTGCAGACTGATGGAGGCAAAGAGTATGCGGATGTGGTGCAACGGGTGAGCAGGTTGCTGGACTTCCGGCACGAGGTGGTGCCTCCAGGTGCAAAGTGGAGGCAGGGCCAAGTGGAGCGCCATGGTGCAATCATCAAACTGATGATGATGCGGGTGATCTCAACCCAACAAGCAGCGGGACTGGAGGAGATCAAGTTGGTGGCAACGAGCTGCTTCAATGCCAAGAACCGCTTATGCAACAAAGCAGGAATGTCCCCTCTGCAAGCTGTCACCGGGAAGAACACCACGGTTCCAGTGTCAGTCATGGAGCAACTCTGCAGTGGCCAGGTGAAGTTTGCGCTGAATGAGGAGTTGGAACTACGTGATGCCCTTCGACGAGCAGAACGTATCCGAGCGGCAGCCATTGACAGCAACTGGATCGATTCCAACCAGGTCATCAGGGAAGCCATGAATCGACGCTCTCGGCCGCCAAAATTGGAGTGTATCTTCGAAGGCACCACGGTGTATGTGCACGAGCCACCGCCCAACCGACGTGGCCAACATCGACGTCTTCAAGATCACTCCAGCTGGGATGGTCCAGGTTTGGTGGTTTGCGGGGAGAGACAACAGAATGTGCCCAATAGGGTGTGGGTTCGCATCAGAGGAAAGGTGCGAAGTTATCCATTGGAGAAACTGAGACTGGCAACTCCGGATGAGATGTTGGGTTCGCAGTTCATCGTGCAGATCTTGGAGGAGATGCAGGACGAAATCAAGAAGGGCAATTTGCGGCTTGAAGAAGATCAGAACCAACCAAGACAAGCTTTACCTGACAGGGCACATGCGACACCCAACGTGGAGGAGGAAGGCAATATGGAGATGCTGGATGACACGCAGGTGCAAGAACGTCTGCGTCGGGTGCGCCGAATGGAGATCATGAATGACGTGCCGGACTCCATACGGCAAGGGGCATTGTCCAGCTCCAGTCAGAGCAGCCGAGTCCTTGTGAGAAGGCTTGATGACGGTGAGAGAAGGGACCTTCTGATGGAGGATGATGCAGAGATGTCAGAAGCGCCTCAAGTTCCTCCTGAAGAAGTGGAGCCTAGCCGTTTGAAGTTTCCAGAGAAGAAAGCCCTATTTGAACAAGGCAGATGTGAAGGTGGGTTGCCTTCCACTTTGACAGAGGCGCGTGTGAGAAGTGGCATGACTTTGGCAGGCAGACAGGTGAAGAACATTCGGAAAATCATCAGCAAGCATCGTCGGGCACCTATGACACCTCAGGCACGACAGCAACGTGCTGAAGAGCAGTCGATGGGCAGTGTAGTGCTGCTGACCGAAGTGTTGGAGCCTGATCATCACGAAGTTCTGTGGCATGAAGCATGCAAAGAGATGGAGGAGCAGGAGGCGTTTTGGAACTCTCCTGCCGTGAAAGCGAAGGATCTCAAGAAGATGAATAGCAAGATTGAGAGCAAGGTTTTCCAACACAGAGCAGATCTGGCTCAGGGCAAGATCGTCACCGGCAAGGCGAGATTGGAGTATCAATGGTCACAGCTCAATGAGGAGTGGAAGAAAGCATATGAACAGCCTTTGGTGAAGGCTGTGAAGATCTACTTTGACCATGATGCTCTTGCTGGTGTACCCAAGGACAAGGTGATCAATCCAAAGCGGATATTATCCACACGTTTTGTGCTGACGAACAAGGGTGGCCCAGAGTTGAAGGAAGCGATCCTCAAGGCAAGATTGATCTTGGGAGGACACATGGACCCGGACATGGGCAAGTACGCCACTTTGGCGCCTACTGCAGCTCTCTTGGCACACAATCTCATCAATTGGGTTGCAGTACAAAAACAATGGGTGGTGAACTATGAGGATGTGTCCAGTGCCTTCTTGCAGGGCAAACCATTGCCGAAGGAGAGGGAGGTCTACATCCGTTTGCCCAAGGGCTACCCTGACTGCGTGTGGGCCTTCATCTTGGAGCAGCTGGGAGTGAACTACAGAGAAGATTTGCTGCAGCTGACCAAGGGAGGCTTTGGTCTTCCGGAGTCACCACGTCTGTGGTACCTATGCTACAGGGACACGCTCAAGGAGTGTGACATGAAGGAGTTGGACATCCTGCCGGGAGTCTTTGCGGCCTATCACCCTGATGGAGAGCTGCGAGCTCTGGCGTGCATCCATGTGGATGACACGCGCTTTTGTGGGGACGAAACCAGCCAGGAGATTTGGGACAAGATCCACCAGAAGCTCAAGTTCGGTGAACTGCGTAAGGCAACGCAGGGTTGGACGAAGTTCTGTGGCCGGTGGGAGAGGCAGAACCCGGAGACCCTTGAGTTTGAGTACGCCATGGAGGAGTACGCCAAAGACATCCAGAAAATGAAGTTGCCCACCGGCAATGCCAAGAACCTGAGTGGGGAGATCTCACCCGAGGAGAAGCTGCAGATGTCGTCCATTTTGGGACAGCTCAACTGGATGGCTCGACAAGGTCGATACGACTTGTCCTATGGAGTATCTCATGTGCAACAACTGGCAGCTCGAGAAGGAAGAGTGGCCTTGGAGTGGCTGAACAAGGTGGTGTACCGGGCCAAACAGCCAGCTGTTCAAGTGGTAAAGAGGCTGAAGGATTGGCGCAACTACATCATCGTGTCCGCCAGTGACGCAGCATATGGAGCACAACCGGGAGGCTATAGCCAAGGTGGCTTGGTGATTTGCATCGCCGACAAGGACATCCTGGAGGGCGAAGCGAATCTGACCGTGGTGGAGGCGGCCAGTATGAAGATTCAGCGGGTGGTGAGGTGCTCAATGAGTGCAGAAGTCTCCATGGCGGCCACCTCCTATGAACATGGAGATTTTGTACGAGCAGCACTGGCCGAGATTCTCAATCGAGACTTTGACCTACCGGAATGGAAGGTCTGGGCAAGTGCACGTGAGCACTATCTGGTCATTGACTCAAAGACGGGATTCGACGTGCTGAACAATGAGACGCAGACATCAGACAGAAAGATTCAGATTGACTTGGCGGTCTTGAAGCAGGCCTTGATGGAGGCGGACATCAATGCCTTCGTACGTTGGGTGCCGGGCCATCATCTGATCGCTGATGCCATGACGAAGTGGTATGCCAACAATGAGCTCGAACGGGCCTTGGCAGAAGGAGTTTGGTCTCTGAAGGACACGTCAGAGGCGCAAGGTTTGCGTAGGGAAGCAGCCAAGAAACGGCAGCTTTACCGTAAGGCTGCACGCATGGATCAACGGGGGGATGTGTGAAGATAGGGCATATTCAACCCTGAAGTTACTTGGTGCAGCCTCAATTCATTTTTGCGAGACCCGACAGCCATTTGGCTACCAGTCGCGGACCCTGTGGAAAAGGGACATGGCGCTTGCTTTTTGAGGGCGTTGGCAACATTTCACTATAAGTATTTCAGCCTGAAATCTTGGTTTGGAGATGTTTGGAGTGAGAATACCTTGCGCAGTCCGGTGCCTCCTCCTATATAATCTATATATATGCTATCCATGGCATTCCCACCGTGCGCGCGGAGGCAAAGCTGGAATGCCTTGAGTGGCCAGGACTTGGAGGATCGACTGTGAGACTGTGACGATGGACATGTCTCCAACACAGAGAGTACCAAATACTAGAATCACCGGGAAAACATGTACATACTACATATATCTTATGTTATTTTATATATAATCACTACACACATGCACACATGCACACATGCACACACACACACAAGCCCCTTGCCACTCAAGGAGTGGCTCTCAAGCAACCTGACTAGGTGTAGAGTTGGGGACCCTGGGACGTTTTTCATCACGCGGATTCTTTGCGCTGCTGCTTTCCTTTGGCCATTTCATTTCCTTGCTGTGCGGCTCATTGCAATTTCTGATTGAGGCATTTGCGTGAACATTTCATTTGCTGTTTTTGATTTGTTTTGTGGCTCAGAAAAGACAATTTGATCAGCTGATTGAACTGGGAACGGACGTGGCAGCCACGACGACTTCCACCAAGTTTCAGATCCAAGCATTTGGGGCAGTCTTTGGATTGCTGTTTTGCTGTCTCCAACCACAGCAGACTTCGACACCAGGAGCAGTAACTGGGTTGGGCACCCCCACTGACTGTCCCACTGCAGAGACTTTTTTATTGAACAACTGGCAAGCAGTTTTCCCACACGATCAGAACAGACCATTGAGTCACACATTTTGGCACGGGGTGGGCTCCCGGACGTTCTTTTCTGGCCCTCAACAGATTTTGGGACTGACAGGCATTTTTAATTTTCTTCTGACACACTTCACTTCGTGCTGCGGGGTAGGCTCCCGACAATTTTATTTCACTGGCCTTGGAGTGGAAGTGTGTGGAACAGCTGGTAAGCAGGCGGACATCGAAGCATTGTGCGACACATTTTGTTTCTTGCTTTGCGGGGTGGGCTCCCGAGAACCGAATACTGGCCTGGATACGCAACACCATACCTTTTCAATATTTGATTTCTCTTTCGGCACACAGACACTGGACAAGCACCACAACACGACATTTTGTGGGCTACGACACGCCTCTCCACACTGCGGGGTGGGCTCCCGAGTATTGTTTTGCACTGGCCTTGGAGTTGACGTGTATTCAGACAGTTTCCCACAGAGCGATTGCAGCCGAAACGCATATAAATTCCTCCCATACTGCGGGGTTGGCTCCCGGAATTGCGACTTCACTGGCCAGGGAGAAGAGTACTTTGATTTTACACTTGAGCATCAAGCTTGTTTTCGACTGGCACAGATTGCAACAGGCGACGCAACAGAGATCCCACCACACTGCGGGGTAGGCTCCCGAGAATTTTGCACTGGCCTTGGTGGATCTACAAAGTACGCAGACGCACAGGTGGAATCCTGGCAACTCGACTTCACAACTACAAATTTTTCCAGTAAGAGCCAGACGCTGAGCACTTTCTCCACTGGGATTCCTCTTTATTGGCAACTGCACCTGACAAGAGATCTGACATCATTTGCCCCCAGAAATTTTTCACTGCGATTTGACTCCTGCGTTGTTCCAAAGCTTGACATTGCAGAGGGTACATTATTTTTGGCAAACATTTTCACTGCGTTTCAGATTGTGACTTGCTGCACGCCAATTACACATCCTTTTCCCCACCTGCAGGCTTTGATTCAAACATCGACGTTTTCACATTCGGCAGAAGTGCTGCTAGCCGCAGCGCACGAGAATAAACCCTGGACAGGATCTCTGTTTTGTTTTACTGGCGCTGATACCTTTCAGCTGAGTACACGATCTCCGCTTGTACTGAACTGGCAAACAATTCTGAGATTCACCTTTTTCCTTCCTTGGTGGTGGTGCAGTGTTATTTTCATTTTGGACCTCCTGCTGGCTCTGTTTGCCCTTGAGGGTTGCCAATATTTCATATTTACTACACGGAAAGCATTGCGCGATTTTCTCTCGTTTGATTCGTCATTGATCACAGGGGTCTCTGATTCTGACACGCTGCAGCAGAACTTGAGAACCACAGAAATCACATACCCACACATCCAAAGTGGCACACCTGGTCCCAAGTCCAGGGGAAGATTCCACAATCACAGCCTTGGCAGATTTTGGATTTTTCACTTGATCATTTGTGTGTCCATGCTGCCCATGCACAATTTTTCGGAATCTTTCAGGGGTGAGGGTTGCACCTCAGTCATGAGGGGTGCTGAAGCGTCCAGTGATTGGCAGACCCATTTCATTGCGACATGTGACGCGAAGCAGCATGACATGCGACCAGAAACAAGCTTTAATGCTATCCCATGGCACCCTGCACAAGCAGGTTGTTAAGCGCAGTATCAAACGGGCCTACACCAGGGCCTGCCAACAAGGCCTAGCTTGGTACAAGGGTAGATGCTATACCCCATCAGACTTTCCGAAATGTTTGTGGTCACATTTTGACCCCAGCCAACAGCCATCAAAGCCAGCTCCAGATCAAGCACAACTTACATGTAACAAGCGGAATCAGGATCACAGAAGATTGAGAGTCTTTCACTGGAACGCTGGAGGCCTAGCCTCACATAAGTTGGACGAGATCAAACAATGGCTGGCTGTGCAGAACATTGATGTCGCCATCATCTCGGAGACCAGAATGACTTTTGAGAGTGAATGGACAGATGGTTTGTGGCATCATGTGCATTCTGGACAGCAAGATTTCCGTGGTGCAGGAGTGCTTTGCCTGATTTCTACAAGACTCAGCAGACCCCATCAACTCCGATGGAGGGTTGTAATCCCTGGACGTTTGCTGCATGTTCAAATCCAAAGAAACAGCCAAAGTATCGACCTGATTTGCTGTTACCAGCATACACAAGCACACACGACTGCACGACGGGCTGAACGGAAACGCTGGTGGGATAGCTTAGATACTCTTTTGCAAGGCCTGGCACTCAGGAACATTCTCTGCCTAGCTGGAGATTTCAACACAAGCCTGCCACAATTCAAATCTCATGCAGGACCGGCGGTCTTTAAATGGCATGGAAAACTAACAGCTGGTGCGCAACATGAAGAGCAGGGTCTCTTCATGTCCTTGCTTAGATTGCACGGGCTAACCGCCTTGAACACGTGGGGCATCAACACTGGGCCTAGCTATCAGTTTGAATCCCACTGTTCCCGCATCGACTTCTTGATCACCCGCAAGACCATTGCAGATGGCTGTGCCAAACATGTCAAATATGCATGGGACGCTCCTTTTTGTGGCAGGTGGGGACACGCCCCTATGATTGGACAAATCAGGAAGCAGTGGATCCCCACCAACCAGGATGCATGTGCCTCCACAATCAGTCCTGCACAACGCAAGCAGGGCCATGTGGCTTTTTTACATGATTCTCCCATTTGGCAGACATATGTCACTGACACTGGTGACCAATTGATGCAGCGCATGACCAAGGTGCCGCTCTCAGAGGAAACACTCATCACTGACATGCATCAGATTGCTTGCCGTAATTTTCAGAAGTTTTTCCCGCGTCAGATTGCAAACCCAAACAGAGATGACCAAGCAACACGCCTTGTCATGAATAAATGGCAGCACCGGAAGTCAATGCTGACAATTGTGCAGATCACTCCTCGCAACCTCCTGAAAGCTTGGTTTCATGTTGCTAGGTTCCAGACCTTGAAACGCAGTGCCCAGGTTCATGCCAAACAGGTGCGCAAACTCAAGTTTCAAGAGATAGTGCAGAGTGCAACGGCTGCTGCGTTGAAACATGACTCACATTCTCTCTTCCAGTTGATCAATAAATTCTCCCCCAAACAACCCAAAAGACGCATGCAACTACGTAATCCCCAAGGACACATTGCCACTCCAACAGAAGAAACTGCCATGCTTGTGAACTTCATTGCAGAAACTTGGAAGGGACCAGATTGTTTCCCAGTTGCGCAGAACTGTTTTGCAGGCTTGCCGTTCACCATGGAAGAGCTGGCTGCCTCACTGAGGGGCATCCCTGCCCTTAAAGCAGTTGCACGACCCTGTGCTCCAGGCATCGTGTGGGAAGCAGTTGGGCCCTTGATCACACCTGTGCTTTATTCCATTTTGACCAATTGGTGGCAGCGCCCTCAAGCCTATATACCAAATTGGTTTAAAGCCAGCTGGATGATTTTAATCCCTAAACCAAACAAGCAGCCAGTACACCCGGCTGCATTGCGACCGTTAGCTCTTCAGGAGCCGGTAGGAAAGGCGCTGGTAGGGATTTTAGCCTCCAAAGCTCAACATGCCATGATGCCAGAGATGACAAAATGGCCCATCTGGGCCTATTTGCCCATGAGATCGACACAAGATGCACTGCTGAGGATCACTCGACATTGCACTGAAGTGCGCACGCTGCTGGCCATGCAACGCACCACCCCGTTCACACGAGAACAGAAAACCCCGAAATATCGAGTGGCAGGTGGAATATGCATCTTCCTAGATATTGAAAGGGCATTTGACATGGTAAACAGGGCTCAACTATTCAGCAAGCTGGAATCACTTGGGATGCCCCCTCAAATTGCATATTTACTCAGCATGTGGCATCAAGATACGGGATATCATCTCCATACGCAAGGAACAGAGAGATACATCAAGGTTGGGCGTGGCTTGCGGCAAGGCTGTAAAGCTGCGCCACTGTTATGGAATGGCTATCTCCTTGCTTTTCTTGCTGAGTTGAAGACCCGTGTCTCCCACAGTTGGATCCAGAGATGCCTCAACTTTTATGCAGACGATGGGCAGCTAGGAGATTCGTATAGATCAGAAACTGAACTCCATGACCTTTTGACCAACATTTATGCCACACTGGATTTGCTGAATGAATTTGGGATGACGATCAACTCGGCCAAATGCACGGCTCTTGTTGCCATGACCGGCACATCCTGCCGTAAGCTTCGAACTGCATTGACCACGTTTCGTGATGGAAAAGAATGGCTGAAGCTTGAGCAGCCTCACAAACCGACCATTTGGCTGCCGGTTGCATCTCAGGCCAAGTATCTAGGCACAGTGATGAGCTACAAACTGCTGGAAGACCAAACAGTGTTGCACAGAATCCAGCTGTCGAAGATTGCCTTCCATCGCCTTAGCCGCTGGCTTAAAGGCAAGCGTGGCATGCCAACATGGCAAAGACTTCGTATATGGTCCACCTGTGTTTATCCAGTTCTTAGCTATGGCATTTGCACGGTAGGAATCACCACTTTTGGAGCCACCAAACTGCAGCAGACCATGTACAGCATGCTCAGACAAATCCTAGATAACCATGCATATGTCACTGGTCAAAGCCATCACCAAGCACTTGCACAACACGGGGTAGAGTTGCCGCTGATTTGGATTGTGAAAACCGTCGACAGCCTGCAACAGTCTGTCACTCAACGACTTCTGTATGCTGAAGTGCACGATGTTGTACACCGGCTTGATTGGAATCATCTCTCCAATTTGAAAGCATTCCTATTGGCACAGCGGAACACAGGCCCTGTGGAGTATCACCTGCCACGAGCTGAACCTGACGTGATGCCTGCGCAATTTTACTGCTGTAACAAGTGTGATTTCCAGACAACCAGCGTTGCCATATTCAGACGTCATTGCGCACAAATCCATGGCCACAGAATGAATAGAATTTATACAACTAACCCTGCCAAATACATGCTTCATGGGTTGCCACAGTGTAAATTCTGTTATCGCACATTCACAACATGGCGTGCCTTTACGCATCATATCCAATGTGGATGCCAGGTTCTGCAGGCTGGCCCTCCAGAGTGCTGGCAACCTGAAGCTGGCCACACTGCTGACGCACACGGTGGCCTTGCCAACATGCTTGCACCACGCCAAGAGGCCCCAGTTCGAGGGCAACAACTGATCACAGATGCAGACCTACAGAACCTCAAGAGCCAAGAATGGGGAAACAGGATCCTCACCATTGTTGGCACACGGAACTGGCACCACATGCGAGGTGAAAAAGCAGCATGTGAGTACTTGGCTTCCAGGTGCTGTCTGTGCGACCAGTTCCTTGGCCGTACCCAGGATCTCAACCATCACCTCAAGCTGCTCCACCCGGAATATTGGCCCCACACTGCGGCCAAGGGCAAACAGCTGACGGCCATGCACGGCGACGAGACGCCTTGCCCATACTGCCATGCACTGTTCACCAACATGCATCAATGCACGGTGTGGACGCAGCTGGCGATGTTGTTGGTACACGGAGGCAGCAGCTTTGACCAAGACTCTCAGGGGCCACCTAATGTTTTGAAATGTGAACTCTGCAATCAAGTCCATGAAACGGCTGAAGCCTTACATGCACACCTGACCCTGGACCATCGGCTAGTGAGCACCAGCTACAACCCGGCCAGAGACAGCGTAGCGGGAGAACCCGCTTGTGCCCACTGCGGAGCTCTATTTGAGCACTTAGAGTCCCTGCGCAGTCACGTGAACCAGGGCGGGTGCCCAAGATTTGACCCAGATCTGCCAACTGAAGTGCTTGATGTTCAAGAATCATGGATTGCAGCCACATGTCATGGAGAACTTGCCAAAACATTGCGAGACGCCCACACCCGACTCCAACTGACAATCCAATGTCAGAGTTGCAGCAGCCGTTATCACCGTGCAAACGACCTATCAGGTCACTTACAATCAGCGCATTCCAGTCTGTGGTCGGCCTCCCAGAGACTTTGCCATTTGTTAGTTTCCTTGGTCTACAGTGATGTTGGTTGCACATGCAACCCCAGTGTGAGCAATCCTCGTGCCAACCATGTGTGTTTGACCCTGACCCAACTAGCAATGCAGCATATGAGAATCCCAGATGCCATCTTTTACCCAATCACTCCCACAGATGAAGAGCTGGCCCAGATTTTCTCTTCCAAATTGGATCGTGCCACACGTTTTCTTTTTGAACAGATGCTCACAAATCGACAGTTGCCAGCACTTTGGCAAGATGCCAATGTCCTCCAAGTGACCAGGTCTCAATGCCTCTTTTGTGGAGAGACGTATCATGCGGGAGCACTCACGATGCATCTACATGAGGCGCATAAGGGTGGACTGCCATTGGTGAAATTCCTTTTGCAGCAGCTACTACCACATTTTCTCCAGCGCAATGACACTGACCATCAATGCTTTGCATGCACACAGGTCTTTAATCATAAACTGGAGGATGCTGAGGCCACATGTGATGCTGCGCGTCAACAGGTGGTTCAAGTGCATTACAGAGCCCAGTGCCCTAGTATTTTGCAAGCCGCGGTAGTCCTGAGCCGCGCAGCACATGGCAGACTCACCAATGTCAGACGTGGACGAGGTGTCCAACCAGATCTGGAACGCCTTCCAGGATCTCTCACCATGGCTGGACACCAGCCTGAAACTTGACCCAGAATGCCAACCCAAAGCGGCAAAGAAAAGGCGAACCCAGAAAGGGCAGCCACACCAACGACAGCAAGGACCAGATCCATCTAGCCAAGGCCATGACCATGTTGGCAACCTTGGCCATCAAATTGGACAAAGAGATCCAAACCATGAAGAAAGAGGACACCTACATTTTCTTTTTCGCCAACAAAGGCAAAGAGAGCTGTTTGCACACCTTGATACAAACGACGGAGCAGTGGGCCCAGAAGCACACAGAGAATCAGAAGGCGGACCCACCGTTGCAGAGCATGCCGCTGAGACAACACCTGATGCAGGTCCTCTTCAACAACCTGCTCACGAGAATCGAGCAGCTGGGGAATGCGCCGGAGGGGGCAGAAATCTTGAAAGCAGCGCAGCAGAACCTAGTACTGCTGAAGGACAAGACCTGCCCGTATCTGGAATGGAGTCACAGCAAGAAGGCCTTGACGGTCAGCAACAGGCCGCCACTTACGCTGAAGCATCTGCATCAGCTTTGCACAGATCTCCTGGAAGCCCTGGCCAACCCAGCCCTGGTGGTGAAGTTTCATGCCCTGCCTTCGGGGAGCAGACAGGAAGTATCACCATGGAAACTGCAGCTCAGCATGCGGATGGACGAGCCCTGGCAGCTGATGCAAACCCTCTGCAATTCGGGCATATGGCTCCTCATGGGAGCAACTCTGAAAGCTCACAGCCTGGTGCAGAGCCCAGCAGCCCACAACTTGCAGAAGGCCCTGAATTTGACACCGTCAACCAAAGGCAAAGGGAAGGGCAAGAACAAAATGACTCCCGAGATGAAACAGGAGTGAATGCAGCTCCTGGCCAGCACCCAGATCAAATGATCATGCTCCAGCGGCTGTCCCACATGCTACTGGAAAATCCAGGGAATCTTTGTTTTGCTAACTCAGCTGTATACTCATTGCTGTGGGCCACCTTGATGGTCCAACCATGGCACCCAGCACTTTGGGGAACACAAAGCAGAGATCTGCACCATTTTCTGATTTCCAAAGCACGATCCAATTTGCTTGAAGAACCATGGTTGCAGCAGATCTTGCGTTGTTGGGGTGAACGGGATCCATTATTTGATCCTGTGAATGTTGAACAACAGGACGCAGCTGAATTTGTCAGCACCTGGCTGGAGCTGATGCATACTCCAGCGTTTGACATGAGTTGGGAACGCAGAATGGAAGAAAATGACATGACCCGTGCCTTTGATTATAGCCATAGACATACACCATTGAGCCTGAAGTTCAACAGTTTCCTTGCCAATTTCATGACATGTGATCTCACGCAGTTGCTGCGCTTGTGGCGACAGGTGGATGGTATGTGCGCTGCCCTCCTGCATGCACCTCAATGTCTATGCCTGCATGTGGACCGGTGCACCCAAGATGCCAATCAGATCATTTACAAAAGTGACTGTATGATTCATGTTGATGAACCTTGCTTGGTGCCTGTTTTCACAGATGACTCATTGCGATTTGAAATGGTGGAATATCAAGTGATGGCGCTAACGGCGCATTTTGGCGCCGATGGACATGGACATTATCGAACTGCCTTGCGTATTGCACCAACCGTATTGCATCTTGCGCAACCGGCGAACTGGCTTCTGACAGATGACTGGCAGCAACCACAGCCAGCATGGACCGTGCCGCCGTGGATGAAAAGATGTGCAACGATGTTTTGGTTGGTGCGTGCAGATTGTGCCCATATTTGGCGCTATCGACCCATCCCAATGCAGCACTCAGCCTTGACGAGGGAAAGCAATGATGCCTGAAACCAATTGACGCGGCTTGACCTGAGCTACCTTTTGACATTTTCTCCCATACTCCAAATGCCTGGATGAGTGACTTTTTCCATCATTTCTTCAACTGAGCGGCAACTGTACATCAGTGCGGCAGGGTGGCCAGACAGATTCCCAAAATGGAACCGCTGAAATAACAGCGCTGGTCGACACAAACCTTTGGATTGAATCAGAAAAGGTGTGTAGTTAAAAAAACACACACACACACTAGACAAGAATGGATCATTATATGATCCGGCAGGAACTGAATCCTGAAACATGCAGATTAAGTACGAAACACTGAAATTAACAATGCATCCTACGAATAATAGAAGTACTTCAGAATGGTCATAGGGTTCAGAATCGACGTCAAAAAGAATAAACCAGTAATAATACCATCGGCGAAGAATAACGTCGGCGAAACTTAGATGAATACCATCGGCGACGATGTTGTCGGCGATCATGTAAACAAAATAATACATAGGTGCTTTCTACGTCCTTGCTCTGAGGAAGGTTCTGATGCAACTGAATCAATAGTAAATGACCAAAAGTAATTCCAGATTGCGACAACAGTGCAGCAAATTGTATAAGATTGTGGTTGGGGTTCTTAGCTTGGCCCCTTGCTATGTCCGAAAAAAGCAGGTACGTGACAAAGGCGTCCCTTCGTCATATCACAGCAAATGATGAAGCGTCTTCGTTGAGTGGTGACTTCATCATTGCTCACCACTCCCCTGCAAATTAGTGAAAACCAATCAGAAGTTTTACATCTGTTCAGATGGTACACACACACACCTCGCATGTAGCGAGGTTGGTTTTTTGGAAGAACTTCGCTGGCGGAATCGGCAATACACCAGTGAAAATGAACCTGTAAGAACCTAATGCACAAACGGGCGATCACTTCAATCAGAAGAGGAATTCGGAGCTTGTAGAAGGACTTCCATAGCATCGTGGAAGCTCATGCGTTCAACCATCGCCCAAGTCTGATCGAATTCCCCAGATGCCGTAGCAGCCTTCAAGGTATCAGATAGATCTTTGGCTAATTCATGGATCCGGGTGGTCAGGCTCGGTTCATCTCCAGGAGATGTCGTCTCAATGGGCACATTGTGAAAAGGATGGTGTCCGTGTACAAGGGGAATCTCAAAATGATGTCGCCAATAGTCCGCTGTGCGCAGGGACCACTCCCAGTTGCCCGAAAGACCATAAAAATAGTGTTCAGGGTCACGACATCGGGAATGCCCTAACAAGGGGATTTCTTCAATGAATAGCTCCCTGGTGTTGTTGGAGTGGGTAATGACCTTGAATTGGATCTGGTGAACCACGCGAGAAGAGAATTGAGCACGATGGAGGTAGTTGTGTGTAGAACTTGACTCCGTCGGAAAAGGAACGCCAGGAGGTGCTGGTCCTGAATATGTATCAGAATGGGCCATAGTACCCGTGTCAGGAGCCGTACTGTCATTGACCAAAGGTGCCGACGTAGGGCTGGTAGTAGTGTCGGGAGGGCCTGAGTGACATAGTGCAGAAGTCTGGGCGTCTGATACTTGAACTGGGTTGGTAGGAGCGAGTCCACGGGTAGGATTCGAAGGCCAAGACAAGCCCGCCACGGTCGCGTCTCGTTTGTGTTCCATGGGTGAAACAGTTAGAAATGCGAGAAATAGTGCGACAGCGGCTGAGGCATCAAGAATTGCAAAAGCGAAACTCCAAATTCGAAGGATCAATTTGGATGTCCCATTGGGACCTCAATCTTTTGGAAATACAGAAGCGTAGTTCGGCAATTGGGATGAGGCCGGCTTCAACTGGTTCCATCTGACGTGACCAGGTAAATAGAGCCTCCAGTTCGTAGCCACTAACATTTCTGAAATTGGAGCTGGCCATAGCCATGTAGTGTTCACGGTCAGGCTCGCTACGATGAGTCAATGCCTGTAGAGGAGAGAAGTCAACCAGGATAAGAACAGGTCGGTTTGGAGGAGGGTTTGCATCACCAGGAATGCCTCGCTGTCCAGCAAACCATCCAATGGTTCGTGTACCCAGCGGTGTCTCAATCGTTGATGTAGCGCGATATGGATTGGGTCGAGAAGAACGAGCCATGGCATCTAATGTCGAGTGTCGAAGATAAAGCGGAAAGCCCAAGCTGCAGAATAGGTGAATAATGACCAAGGAATAAAGCTCAAAGTGTTGAAAATTGAAGAGAAATGGGTTACCTAGAAAGTGGTCACAAAAAGACGGTAAAGCCCTGTTCTTTTCCGGTGCCGACAAATAATGTGGTGTATTACACACTGGAGTCTGACATATCCATCGGGTCCGTGTCGTTCGCATCCAGTGGACCTTGTACTTGTTGAGGAGGGACGGTAGGCCGAGTGAGATGTAAAGTACGTTGTAATGTTGCCGGTGGTGACGAAGGTGGTGTAGACCGCCATGGTGGCCAGTATAAGGAGGTGGTAGTTCCTTGAGAGTGATGTTGCGCAGAGCGTCCCCAGCATGACTGCAAAATATAGAGTTGGTCCGGTATTGCTTCATACGGTTGGGAAACATAGACATTGGAGTGTTCAGGGTGTGGTAGAACAGGAACGGCAGTAGTCGTAGAGGAGGAGGAGGATGATTGAATTGGTACGTCATAGTGTCGGCGCCAATGATTAGCCGTGGTACGTAGAGTCGCCTGATCAGTGGTGAGGTGCATGTTCTTCAGAAAGGTTTCCACAGGTTTCCACGTTTCAATACCATCCATGGTCCTTTCCACGACCCAAAGTTCATCCGGACGGTTAGACAACGGGTAGTTCAGCTTCTTGATGAATATGGAATGAACAGTTGTCGAGGTCGGGATGGTTCGTGCTTCGCGAGGGATATACGATGCCGAAGTAGGATCATCAGGAGGTAGATGTGGAACAGGGCCATGTAGGGATGTAGGTGGGGAACGGTGTGAAGCCGATCGAGCAGTATCATCCGTGTTGGAGGTCATCGTGTACAACAACAATAATATGGTTTCGGAATACGCTGGACTGAAGCCAAAGAGCCATGAGAAAGGTCAATGATGACGGGATGAATAACGAACATCAACAAAAGGAAAAGAAAAGAAAGAAGTAAAGGAGACCAAGGAAAACCAAACCCAGGATGGCGGACCTCATAACGAATGTTTTTCCTTTTTCCTCATAGATGTGAGCATCGCCAAGATCTATTTGGAAAACTAATCACTCGGCCGCCTTAGTATATCTGGTGGCCGTGATGAATGGATGCCCACGGGGAATCACTTGGACATGTACAGCGAAGCCTGTGTCTTGTGCATCTGGATGGGGTGTCAGCAGCAAAGGTGAACACTCACGGGTCGTGAAGGCATCGAGATGTTGGTGAGTCTTCCATGACGGATAAAACCAGTTCAAAACGTCCAGAAGAGAATGAGGAAGGTCATCAAGCATCTGAGCTCCTTGATCGGTGTCGATCATCATGTAGAAGTCGGAAGCTGGTAGGTGTATCGACCAGCGTTGCAGCAGCGTATCGGTGACTACTTTTTTGAGGTCGGAGACAAAGTGACTGCGAGCATAGTCCGGGTAGATCACCTTGAACGTCTGGAACAGGCTATCATAGGTGGCCGTAGGAAGGTTGCCCGCTACCTTGGGGGTCAAGATGTTGTAGTAAGGGTTGCGGACGGCCAGTTGCTGCATCGGCTTCAGGTCCAATTGGAAAATAACGGGTCGGTGGGGTGTCGAAGGCGGAGTCCGATTGGGTGGATGCTGAAGTGACGAGGAGCCCATAGCGGAGGACGATGCCCGTGTCGGAGAGCGTGAGCGTCGTGTAGGTGAGATCCTCTCGTGGGACATAGCTCGCAGTTGGCAATAGCGGTCCAGGTGGATGCGGAGAGACATAATAAATGGCTGGCGGGTTGTGTGATACGACGTGTCAAAATTCAATGGGGCAACCACCCCCATGGTTCAGAAGATTAACGAGAAGAAAAAATTCCAGAAGGAAGGTCAAATGATTGGTAAAGCTGGGATACAGTGCCGCAAACGACCTTTTCCTTTTGGTCCGCATATGGCGTAGGTCAGCCCAGTTTGTCTTTGATCTTATTCCACATAGAGCGAACATCTTCCTCGGACTTGCCCATCTTGGTCGAGATCACTTTCCATGAAAATCGAGATTTCTCGTCAGCCTTCAAGGTGCGTAGTTTCTGTTTGTCTTCGGAAGTCCAGAGTGACAGTGGGCTGGAGGAGCGGGATCGGGATTGGTCACGTCGGCGACGACGCTTGGCAGGTGCCTTTGGAGCGGATTTGGCTTTCTGTTTACGATTCGGTGGTGATGGTGTTCTGGTAGAAAGCTTCGAAGGTGCAGGTAGGACATCAGGTGGCGGAGCGGCAACGTGTTGGTGTGGTTCAGGGAGATGGGTTTCCACCAGTTCATCCATGAGTGTCTCTTCCTCCGCCATATCCGGCGATGGGATGATGGCATTGTCAATGAAGGCGTTGGTCTGGTCCGAGTAATGTGGTCGTAGTCCATCAGGTTGATTCCATATATCTGTACTAGGAAGAGGAGTAGGTTCAATGTTTGGAATGAGCGTGGGTGGTAGTAGCGCCATTGCTCGGTGTAGTAGAAGGTAAGCATGGTGAACATCATGAAGAAATTGAAGAAACACTGGTTCTTGAATCGGAATTGACGTCGTAGGAGACGAGGAAGCCATGACAATGCGTCGAATATGGGCCAGCAAGTAAAAGAGGCCGAGTTTGAGGGTAAGCCAGCTGGAGAAGCGCAATTATTCCAAGATCGAATAAATTCTAATATGATCCAAATAGGTGAAACGGTCAGCCAGATGTGAATGGTGAAACGTAAGCGCCGGCAGCAGGACGGTTCCGGATTTTACCACAATGAGGAAACGTGCAAAAATTGACGAATCGGCTTGGCAGCAGCGATAAGATCGGGCTCGGTAAATCCTGCAGATCTGTACAAACGGTGTAATGCGGCAAAACCTCGTGTTCGTTCGTGGGCAGGGTGCGCGCATTTGGCGACCAGAA